CAACGAGGGCTCCTCCTGCCGTGCGTTGAAGACCCTCTGCCAGATCCTGCGCCGACAGCCGTGCGGGCAGCGTCATGCTTGCCGCTGGCCACTTGCAAGCGACTGAGCGTCCGCCGTCGCGCCAGCCTGGCCGGCTTGCCCTTTCAGCGGCGCGCCGTCGCCGTCGGGCTCCCCTCCAAGCCTCAGATCCGATCGTCATCTTGAACTAGCCGACGCTGCGCTCCCACACGCCAGATCCGATCCGCGCCGCAGCGTCGATACATTCGACGTACCCGAGGCAAGATCCTGAACCTCGATTATTTTCATTTTAATTCTTAGTTTTATCATAAATTATTATGTGCAAGATCTCACTTCCCATTGACTTGTTATTTTATTATTTATACTTGTTATTAATTAGTTGCTTAGATTATGTCGTGATATGTTATTTTCTGCGTGGATTGTTTGATGACTGATATGAGACCAGAGGATGTGAGATAGAGTTCATGACTTAGAGGCTTATGTATGATGAACGAGACCTAGAGACATGTTTATGTTGTTGACTTAGAAATACGAGAGATGTTAGAGGGTAGGAAGTCTTGGTTCATGTGAGCGGATGTGATTGTGATTATATTCCAGGCTCGTGCCGGTGAATTCGTGTAGTCACTGGGGTGGGTCTGAGGAGCTGGGATATGTGAGATTGTTGGTGTATTTTCCAGGCTCGTGCCGGTGAATTCGTGTAGTCACTAGGTTGGGTCTGAGGAGCCGTGATAAGTGTCGTTGTGATGTATTTTTCAGGCTCGCGCCGGTGAATTCGTGTAGTCACTGATGTGTGGTTGTGATGTATTTTTCAGGCTCGCGCCGGTGAATTCGTGTAGTCACTGGGGTGGGTCTGAGGAGCCGTGATATGTGTAGTTGTGATGTATTTTTCAAGCTCGCACCGGTGAATTCGTGCAGTCACTGGGGTGTGTCTGAGGGGACAGTGAAACATTGTATGTAGAGTATTGTGATCAGCCAGTTATCCGAGAATATGAACGTTGACTCTATGTGAAACATGGACCAGTGACCTGTTATAGGATGACTAGTTGTATGACATTGATACTTAGACGATTGTGGTTTCTTGTGAGATGTGGACTAGTTATATTTTTTTTCATACATAGATCGAGGTTAATATTTAATTATCTACAATTTGAGACATATGGTATATACATGAGGGTTTCCTTGTTTGGATTATTTCACTCAACGTACTACGTCTCTTGTTGTAGATTTTTTAAGTATTAATCTCATCTAGTTGTATGACCTTGTTACTTGAATGATTATTCTGATCGCTAGCTGCATGACCTCGTTACCCATTTGATTTTTGAATTCTTCTGATTATTATATTTTAGTAGTGGATTGTATTTTGATTTTGTTGGATTTTTAGTTGCAAGTTCTTTTGTCATTTCTGTTATTATATTGTTTTCCACTTGGTTTTCGTTCGTTCTATTTATTTTGTGGGGTCTTACCGTGTGTTATGCACGCTAACGTACACCTGTTTTCTCTGGTGTACGTCAGACTTAAAAGAAGAACAGGTCTAGCTGGGAGATTGTCAGGAGCCAGAGGATTCTCAGCAGGAGTGTCTAGTGGACGAAGCAGAAGAAGAAACCAAAGCTTAGCTATTGGTCAATCTATGAGATTAGTAGATAGATCTATGCATGGTTCGGTCCAAACTGAAAAAACCGACCGAACCGATCGAAAATTAACGGTTTAGATCGGTTTTATTTATAAGTCGGTTCGGGTCGGATTGAAAATTTTCAAACCGAACCGTCGAAAACGACGACTATCTTTCAATTAAGTATTTCTTTCAATTAAGTATTTAACCCGTAACCCATACCCATTACCCGACCCGTCCTTCATACGTTCACTAGGTATAAAATCTCTCATTCTTAAGACACCTAAACCCTAAGTCTAACTCTCTCCAAGTCTCCAAAGTCCAACCTCACCCGCCAGCCCACTTCGCCCGCTAGTACCAAGTAGTCTCAACGGTTCATCTCCGAACCCTCGGAGAGAACGAATCCATCTCCTTGCGATTCTCCTTCCAATTTCTGGTGTGAACCCTAATCTCTCTATAATTTCTTTTATTTTTCATCTATTCTCGATCTATTTGAACTGAAATTTCGGTGAAAGAGGAAAATATTTTTGAGGTAATTTAGGATTTGTGTTGCTTAGTTTAAACAGATCTGGGATATTTCGTTGTATTTGTTGTAGATCTGATAGAATATTGTTAGATTTAAGGTTTTAAGTGATGATTTTGTGCAAAATTGTTGTTTTTTTAGTTGAAATATCTTCTTGACCTGATTTAGATCTGCTGAAGGTGTATTGATGTAGTAATTTGATTATGGAGGTCCTTGATGCAGTTTCTTATTGAGTTAAAAGGATAATAGAAGGATGAACAATATATTATATATATATTTATTTAGGTTAGCTAGGTATTTATTTTGTGCTGATGATCTAGGTATTCATCAAGGATGAACGGCATATGATAGATAGCTAACAGTTTTATGTGTTTACTAGAGTTGATTCTCAAGGTTGATCTATTTGTTCGAATTTATGATTTAGATCTTTTTGGATTCTTGGGATTCTTGAGGTATTTCGTTAAATGAATAATCTTGAGGTTGATTTTGGATGATGTTAATTGACTGTTGTAGGCTGTCAAAAAAAAAAAAAATCACAATAGATAGCTGATCCCCATCAAAACACCGATGATGGAAGTTACAATCTGACGACTTTCAGAGGGCTACAATTTGAAGACTTTCACGTAGATCGCTAAAGGTTACAATCTGACGACCTTCACGACAACCGATGAGAGCTCTAGTTTAACAGCCTTCACCATCAACATCGAGAGTTACAATCTGACGACTCTTATATATCAGAGAGCTAAAGCAAAGATTACAAAATGACGATCTTTGCAACGCTTCGACAGAAAGAGACTACAAATCAATGGTCTCTTCAAATCAAGCTGCGGAAGTCCTCCCCGCACACCAGCATTAAGACGCACCGCGTTCATAGCCACGAACGCAGCTCAAACGCAGCTTCCAAATCGCTGCAAACGCAACCCAGACGCAGCTCTAATCGCTGACAGACGCAGCTCAAATCGCTGCCAAACGCAGCTCAAATCGCCGCCAAACGCAGCTCAAATCGCCGCCAGACGCAGCTTCCAAATCGCTGCAAACGCAGCTCAGACGTAGATTCCAACGCTGCAAACGCAGCGTCTAATTGCTGCGTCTGAGCTTCCAGACGATGCGTTCAAGCTTTTAGGCATTGCGTTTGGACACAGAATTCACGTCAGAACGCGGGCCTGCGTTTGACTCGTTCAAACACGAGCTGAACGGTTCCAAAACCGTTTCCCACGATCTGAGGGGATCACAACTCCACTCAGGAGTGATTTAAGGGGCGGTTACATCTCATTAGCCCCACTTAGGAGCGAAATAAGGAGGTGGTTACACCCCTTAATCCCCTATAAATAACTAAAAATTAATTCAGTTCAGGGGAGAACTTCTTGGCTCGTCAACAGGATCCTTAGAGCATTTCTGGAGCTTGGGAGATCTGCAACAAGATCTTCTCGTCAACAGGATCCTTAGAGCATTTCTGGAGCTTGGGAGATCTGCAACAAGATCTTCTTCATCCTTGACTTATAACCGACTTTCGGTTAAATCAACCTGCAACAAGATCTTCTTCATCCTTGACTTATAACCGACTTTCGGTTAAATCAACTCTTTCATAGAGTTCTAAAACTTGCCACGCAAGTTTTCCACAACGTCAAAATCATGAGGAGAAGACCACGTTCCAGTGAAACAAGACATCGGATCGTCAACGAGAAGCAAACTCGACGCGAGCATTCGAGGGAGGCATCTCATCGCCACCGTGAAGAACCCAGATTTAAACAAAGGAGAGAATCCAGATCATTCTCTTCTCTTTTGTAATCAGGAATCCAAATTGTAATCGAGAGTAGAGAGAATTGTAATCATTCTTTTTCTAAGCAGTTAGAGAGAATAAAGTCAAACACAATTCTTTTATTCATTTTCTTATTACAAAATTTCCGACAAACAACTGTACTTATACTATATCAAAAGGTTTTAGATAGAGTTTTCATATTTGTTTCATTTTTACTATATCTAACAATTTGTTATGTGTATTATGTTGATTCTTAAGGTTTTAGATCTAGTTGTGGAGTATTGGAATTCTTGTGGGTATTTAATTAAATGAATGATTTTGGATGCAGATAACTTTTTAAAATGATCGACCCTCAATGACCAGTCGTTTGTTAAAATGATCGACCCTCAATGGACGCCTCCACTTGTGGGATCTATAAAAGTTAACTTTTTATCGAGATTAGATGCAGATAAAGCAGCAGGAAGATATTTTACAATGGCACGAGATCACAATGGAAACTTTTTAGGGTTTCATCGAGATCGGTCGGATGACAAAAGAAGCACCAACATTCTGATGGATGTAATGAAACTTTGCCACCAGTTCGGAGCCCTCAAGCTGGCTAGTTATCTAGTCAATATCTAAGAAAGGAATATTTAGAGGGGAGGTTAGTCTACCCATCTTATAATCAGTGAATTCTTTCATGAGCATTTCCTTGAAGAAGTAAATAAAATTTTGCAGAAGGCTCTTCATGTAGTGAATGTCCTTGTACCCAACGTTCCTACGGAACTTAAATCTCTCCCTCCTGTGCAGCTTCCGTTCGTTGTTCAATGCATCTTTATGGACCTCTATGGGATTTTCGCTGATACATTCTAACATTTAATCTGGCAAAGTATAATAGTAACATTATAACATGTATCATTAAGCATGTTTTGATCTACCAAATTGTATACCAAGATAGCATCTATTTTCTCCTGTAACTTCTCTGAGCACTGCCCCACACAGAACACTTGATATGCTTGAAACGGTTGGTGCTAAAGCTGATGGTGGAGATGCTGCAGCATGAGCTCTTGCTACAGCTTAAGGGGATGATTTAAAAACTGATCGAGATTATAATAAGGTGGTTGGAATTTTTACAATTGGAGCATCTATTGCATTGATTGCGTATGCTGTAAAATGTGAAACTAAGACAGGTTTTGCCATAATTGCTCTCGTAATAGTTGTCATCGGATTGCTAATTACTATAATTGGGATGGGCCTGGCCGCGATAAAGAAACTTAGTCGAAATGAGACAAGAAACTTCACCTTCAGTTACCTCTTCCTTATTTTATTGTATGCCATAGCAGACGCTGTTTCCAATGAGTATAAGAAAGTTTGAGTGATCTTATGGTTGTGAAGATTTGTTTATCTAGTCCAAAGATTTGGTGATGGTTATGTTAGGTGTGTAGTGTAGATACGTGTGTGCAAACCTAAACTAACCAATTTTTGTTTTTGCCTTGTGATTCTCAAAAACTCACATATCATGGGTATACTATGGTGGTTGTTGACGGTTGCTATAGTTTTATTATGGTAATCAATCCCTTGTTGCCATATTTTTTCCTGCTATATAACTATTTGCTGTAAAACTTTAGATTGCAGCTCTTTTGTCATGAACAAGTTATGGACTAAAGTTTTATTTCTTAGTTGAGTGTTTGGCGTGAAGGTTGTTTTGGGAACTAATGAGTCCAAAGTTTATTGTTCCTTGTTCTACATTTGATCCCTCTTGTTTTTGTTTTATTTTTCTCTGAGAAACCATTTGTGCCTTTTCGGTTTGTGGTGGGGATAAAAAATTGCAAGGCCTGAATAGTGAGGAAGCAATTCAGCTACAGTGGAAATATGAATGTGCTTCAAGGAAGTCAAAACTTTTATGACAAAAGAGCTGCAATCTAAAGTTTTACAGCAAATAGTTACATAGCAGGAAAAAATATGGCAGCGAGGGATTGATTACCATAATAAAACTGTGGCAACCGTCAACAACCACCATAGTATACCCATGATATATGAGTTTTTGAGAATCACGAGGCAAAAACAGAAATTGGTTAGTTTAGGTTCGCACACTCGTATCTACACTACACACCTAACATAGCCATCACCAAATCTTTGGACTAGATAAACAAATCTTCACAAGCATAAGATCACTCAAACTTTCTTATACCCATAGGAAACAGCGTCTGCTATGGCATATAACAAAATAAGGAAGAGGTAACTGAAGGTGAAGTTTCTTGTCCCATTTCGACTAAGCTTCTTTGTCGCGGCCAAGCCCATCCCAATTATAGTAATTAGCAAACCGATGATAACTATTACGAGAGCAGTTATGACAAAACATGTCTTAGTTTCACATTTTAGTATTTTACAGCATACGCAATCAATGTAATAGATGCTCCAATTGTAAAAATTCCAACCGTCTTATTATAATCTCGATCAGTTTTTAAATCATCCCCTTAAGCTGTAGCAAGAGCTCGTGCTGCAGCATCTCCACCATCAGCTTCAGCACCAACCGTTTCAAGCATATCAAGTGTTCTGTGTGGGACAGTGCTCAGAGAAGTTATAGAAGAAAATAGATGCTATCTTGGTATACAATTTGGTAGATCAAAACATGCTTAATGATACATGTTATAATGTTGTTATTATACTTTGCCAGATTAAAGGTTAGAATGTACCAGCGAAAATCCCATAGAGGGCCATAAAGATGCGTTGAACAACGAACGAAAGCTGCGCAGGAGGGAGAGATTTAAGTTCCACAGGAACGTTGGGTACAAGGACATTCACTGCATGAAGAGCCTTCTGCAAAATTTTATTATTTACTTCTTCAAGGAAATGCCCATGGAAGAATTCACTGATTATAAGATGGGTGGACTAACCTCCCCTCTAAATATTCCTTTCTTAGATATTGACTAGATAACTAGCCAGCTTGAGGGCTCCGAGCTGGCGACAGAGTTCCATTACATCCATCAGAAGATTGGTGCTTCTGCTTTTGTCATCCGACCGACCTCGATGAAACCCTAAAAAGTTTCCATTGTGATCTTTTGCCACTGCAAAATATCTTCCTGCTGCTTTATCTGCATCCGATTTCGATAAAAAGTTAACTTTTAGGGTCAATCATTTTAACAACCGATTGGCCAATGTTGAGGAGCCGGCGGGTGACGGAGTCTAAGGAGGTTCTTGTGAATAAATGGCCTGGCATCGCTCTATCGAAGAGAGGATTCGTGGTGGTGTCCGGTTGAAGAGTCGGAGGCGCAAACGAACAAATACTCGCCGCGGAGACGGGGCTCAACGGTGGTGGGGGCGGATGGTCAGAGGGACAACGGTGGTGTCGGGATGGTCGGACGCGCCTCTGTCAAAGCAGCACTCCCGTCGTCACAGCTGTTCGAACACAGGTGACGGTGGCAAACCTCAACCCAAACCCTAGCTGCTGAACTTAGTTTTCTTATTGAGTTTAAATTGTTATTGCGTTTTCGAAACTCAAACCAATCAGGTATAAGTTTTTCAACTTAACAGGTTTGACCCGCATTAATTTGAAACCCGAAATTCATTTAGTGCTAGATTTCAAGTTAAACAGATTTGACCTGATATAACTTTAAACTGGAAACCCGATTATGAATAGGATATATGATATCGGGTATGACTCGAACCCAAGTTCAAAACAAACTTAATTTTGCAAAACGGGTCTGACTCGAGAACAAAACGCGAACCCGAACTTTGTTAGTTTTTAATTTTATTGTAAAATTATTGAAACCCCTGATCGACCCAAAAAAAATTCTAACCTCCATCGGGTTCTCAAACATGCTGTAAATTTAGTTATGGCCCCCTGATTGATCCAAAAATTATTTTGCAGTTCACCAGTTTATTAATTTGCTATAAAAATTATTTTAGCTCCCTGATTCATGCTGAAATTGTTTTAGAGCCCATCTGAGTATTAAGGCTAATGTTTTATTAGTCCCTAACTGTGGCGCAAATTGTTTTAATGTCCATATACATGTATAATTTAGTTTCTTTTATTGAAAAGATTATTCAACTCTTATTGAATTGTTAGGATTGATATTGTATCATGTATATTTTTGAAATACACGTGACATGAATGTGTTGATTTTAAATTGTTTAAATTTAACAATTCATGTGATTAAAGTAATTGCGTGGAAAATTACTGTTCGGTCCAGAATATGTTCTAAATTTTTTATTAAATATAAACAATTTAAAACTTGTTAGAAATTGACTGCTTATTGAAATTTTCTATATAAATGAAAACTGCTGGACAATCTTTATTCTCATTTCTCACAATCTTTCTTAAGATTTTACAGGGACCTGGCTTGAGTTTTGTGGGCACTGGCTACTTAATGCAGCTCCATCCTTCTTTGTCCAGGCTTAGGGCAAGCCTTGCAAGGACTAATGTTTTAAGCATGACATTTGCAGAGTCTAGTCTCAACTGTTTATTTTGCAATATGCTATTTAGAAATGAAGATTCTAGCCTTTGCAGTGATTTAAATGTGAAAGTATTTAAAGGCCAAGAGGGTAGATAGACATGCTGTACTTGCACATGAACTGCTGGTTTTAGTATGTTGTTGAGTAGATTATACTCTTAACATCAAAATAAAATAGCGAAGCAGGGTTTGTACCTGACAAAGTCTTCCTTGCTGCTGACTTCAATTTCTCCTTTTTTCGTGTACGTATTTCTTCCTCGATGACATGCTGAAGAGTATCCTGTTAACTGTTATTATTGGGATTTTCAAGAGCCATTCTAAAATCTAAGTCAACATTTCTCTAAATGGTGTATATGCTTCAGGTTGTAAATGCTTCAGAGAAATCAAAGGCCAAAGGAGCAAGAAATGGTGAGCTTGTTGCTGCCAAGGCTCAACAGACATCATCTCAGCTAGTCAATCATGGCCAGCGCCTGCCTGCTACAAAACCTGACATTGTGAATACTTCTCTGGCTGGGAATTCTCAAGTCCTCAACGGAGAGAAGAATGACACCTCTACTAATCTCATAGATGGACCACCTGTAACTATGACTAGCAAAGTGGCAACATCAGTTGATAGCGTTCCATCAGTTAACAATTCAATTCCACATTTGAAGTTGACGCCAACCAATGCGAAACTCAAGCTAATGGCGTAGGAGGCGAGAAGAAACCTCCATTTGTCACAAGACATAAACAACTCTTCTTTAATTCCATCCGGAAGCTAGCAGAAGAGAAAAGTTGTGTATTGCATCGTTATTCTGATCGTGAAGTGAGCTCTGCTACATCATCATCTTCATCCGAGCCATCAATGCCCAATTCAGTGATCAAATCAGATGAGCAGATACTTGGAGTTTGTGCAGCTTCTGCCTGTGAGGAAAAGAACCTTCTTGCAACTTCGGATTCTGGTTTAGAGCCTTCAGTTGCTGAGAATGACAATGACAATATGCGCAATGAAGAACCTGAAACCTTAGTTGCTTTGGATGAAGAAGAAAAAGCATTTTTGGATTCACTTGGATGGAGCGAAAATGCTGGGGAGTATGGAGATTGAGTCTTTTGTCTAGAGGGTAAAATGAATCTCTGTAGGTTTTTTTAATCATGCTTATCTGCTTTTCGAGGGGGCTTCTTATTTCTAGCTGAGTTCTTAAATTTGCAGCGTGAGGAGAAACTGGGACCAGTTCTCAATTTCGAGGGGGGTCTTCCAGAGTCTCAGCAAGATGGCAGTGAGTCTCGGCAGGATGGCAGTGAGTCTCTACAAGATGGTAGTGAGTCTTGGCGGGATGGCAATCTGGATTGAGTTTGTCCATCTTGGCGGGATGGCGGCAAGTTTTAATTTTTTTTTGTTAATTGATGGCGATCGCGTTTGAAAGACAGGGATCTGATTGGAGCGAAGAGGAATCAAAAGTCTAAGATGTTTTCTCAATGTGAAAGAGGGTGAGCTATAATTTTTTTCAGCCCTTTTGCTTCCTTCAAGAATGTAAAAAAGAATGCGTGGAATGCAAAATAAGATGATGGATTGATCGGAGTCAAGGAAGGTAGATATAAGTTTTCTAGATATCTGCACAGTATTGGAAATCTTATTGCTTAATTTTTCCTTTGATGAAAAAAAATGGTATCTTTTGTTTATCGTCGGTTCTTATGCGCTAGTATTTAAAGAGCAGGAAAAAAAAAAGTTCGGGTTGATCTTTAGTATATACAAGCAGTTGGCGTGAGCTCCAGGCTGTTTTCGGAAATTGAAACCAATTTGTTCATCCTCGTAATTTTTAGAAAGTGACGGTGTTATCGTGGAATCAGCTGTAGGATTCATAGAGGAGAGGTCCAAATCTAGTAGAGCTGCAAGAGATAGATGTAGAAATATAAAATGAGTTCTCTACATGGTCACGCGCTACGAATGCTGCTGAAACATTTTAGTGTGAAGAAACATGTTTATGGGAGATAGAGTTCTATCGCGAGGATCAATACGGTTTAATTTTTTGCTGTTTACTGTTTACGAAAGAAGATTGGATGAATAAATTCCAATAAACAACGCTTAGATGGGAACTAGTTTGTCGACTAATAAGCTGACCGCATAAAACTAAAGGAAAGGGAGGGAGGAGAGGGAGAGGTGGAGGAGGAAGGAGATTGAGGGGTTAGGGTTTGTGATTGGAGCTGGTTTATAACGTTGGAAGCCACGCTAGCAGCCATGTTAACACCACGTGAGGCATCACGTGAAAATTTTCTCCAGAAATTTGGGTCCGGCCAAATTTGAGGCCTATTTATTGCCAGAGAAAAAATAATATACGAATATGTCTTCGGAAAAAATACATACCAAATTGTCACAAATGGTACATAAATTATACCAAGTTGGTATTTTTGCCCTTATAATGGTGATCCTTTGAATGGCCTATCACTTAATGGCTTCCTTAATAAGCTGATGCGGAAAAAGCCGAAGGTAAATAAGAAAGCAGAAGGTGGATTATAGATCGCACCTTTAAGAAAGGTGTGTTGGCGCCTATGGTTAAATCTGGAATAATACAGATATATAATATAAAAAGCAGAACAAAAATTTGAAGTGCAGTAATTTAAAATTTTCAACTCATCTGCTGTGCGTTTGTAAAACGCTATGTTTAAAGCATTATTTGGCCTACTCCGGTGCAAGGATCCCAAGATCAAATTGCTTCCAAGAATAGCAGTCTAGTACTCTGGTGTGCACCGTCCCAGTACTGTCAAGATCTCCTCTATCTATAAGGCAAATATCTCATCGATCTATCAGGCAAAGATCTCCTCGATCTATCAGGCAAAAGATCTCCTCGATCTATCAGGCAAAATTCTCAGGCAAAAGATCTCCTCGATCTATCAGGCAAAATTCCTATAAGCACCAGCTATTTTACAATCTATATATGTATATATTGATTGTTGTTTTTGGAATGACCTATAAGCACCAGCTATTTTACAATCTATATATGTATATATTGATTGTTGTTTTTGGAATGAATTTTCTTTAAGGATTTGATGTCTATTTATAGCGTTTGGGAAAATACTATGCACTAATAAAATAACATATTTTACTATGCATGTGGGGCCCACGCTCTTATTTTTTTAGTAGGGCCCACCACTTTATGTTAATTTCAACAAAAATTTAGGGCAGCCTAATTTTAGGTAGCAGCCCATGTGTGTTTTCTTTGATTAAAAAATTAATATCCAACAATCCCACATAATTTTTTTTTAAACTAGTGTTGTGTAACGGTGTCATCGTTTCAATCGTTGTGCATAAGATAGATGTCGCAAGGACTTGAATCCCCTTTAGACCAACTGAATAACAGATAGATGCATGGTGTCGCAAAACTTGAACCAGCATATGTCTAAAAATCCAGCGATCATACAAGATCAAACTTATATGTGGTAGTTTTCACTTTGAACCACACTTGCCTTTGTCTTTGCCTTTGCCTTGCCTTTGTCTTTACACATTTATGGCCCTGTGCATGCCCTGGTTTCTGCTATGGTTCTAGGTATTTTTCCACAAGACACCATAGGAGACGGTCAAATCTCCACCCATGCATAGGTGAGTTCTTTAGGCATGTTTCATATCAAACATCCCGCATCCGAAATGCTTTGAACTCATTAAAGCTTAAAAAGCCATCCTCTCTCATTATAGGATTCTAGGTGAGTCCTTTAAGTGTGTTCCCTATCTAACACACCGCATCCGAAATGCTTTGGACCCATTAAGGCTTAACAGTCATCCCCTTTACATGATAGGATTCTAGGTGAAAAAAATTAAAGTTTTACTCGGGTAGTTCAGCTAGGTAAAGATAGTATTAGAGGTTGATCAAAGATCAATTAAGTACATCGTTCCTTGCGGAACGCGTTACGCAACCCCCAAATCTTAACTTAGACACCGACTAATCCAAGAAAACTTAAACCCTTTCATTTGTAAATCTTACTTGACTTTTGAACCATTTATCTTGTCATTAGTAACATAAGCTTTGAACTAATAACTTGATGTAAATAATAAGTATTTGTAAGACTACCAACTTTTGCAAATCTTACTTGACTTTTGAACTAATTATCTTATTATTAGTAGCATAAGCTTTGAACTAATAATTTAATAAACATGGTAAGTATTTATAAGACAAGTATTTATAAGACTTACAAAACTTTGAGACCCATTCCAGCAGACGTCCTTTCGACTATGTCCTTTTTCAGACCCTTTGTCAAAGGATCAGCTACATTCTCTGAAGATCGGACGTCAATCACAGAGATGACTCTTTGACAAATGAGCTCTCTCAAATAGCCATGCTTCAGATGAATGGTCCGCTTATTTCCATTGAACATCGAGTTTGCTGTCACAGCACTCGCCGCCTAATTATCGTAATAGATAGTAATTGCACCTTGTAATTCCGTCAATGGAAGGTCTCGGAGAATACAACTGAGCCACAAAGCTTCATCTCCCACAACACAGAGTGCGAAGAATTCATATTCCATTGATGATTGTGCAATCATGGTCTGCTTCCCACGAGACGGCAGATCCACCCATGGTGAAGACAAATCCTCTAGTAGATCTGCACTCATCTAGTTCTGAGTACCAGCTCGCATCTGAATAGCCTTCGATTACATCCGGATATCCAGTGTAGAATAGGCCCAGACCTGTAGTTCCTTTCAAGTATCTCATCAATCTCTGGACAACATCCCAATAAAGCTTTCCAGAATTACTTGTAAACCTACTAAGCATTCCTACAGTGAATGCTATATCTGGCCTTGTGCAGCTCATCGCGTACATAAAACTCCTAATGATCTTTGAGTACCTCAGCTGCTCTATTGGTCTTCCAATGTTCGGTCGAAGCTTCTTGTTGTAATCATATGGCACTGACAGTTCTGGCAGGTCGTAGTAGCCATACTTTCTTAGCATGCTCTTGACATAATGAGATTGGGACAATCCAATACCCTCTTCAGAGTATATGATTTTGATTCCAAGAATCATGTTCGTAGTTCCAAGGTTCTTCATGCTGAACTGTGCTGACAGAAATTTCTTGGTAGATATTACTATCTCTAAATCACTCCCTATGATGAGCATATCATCCACATAGAGGCAGATGACCACCACCTTTCTATTAATGACCTTGATATATAGGCATTTGTCAGATTCACTGACTTGATACCCATTGTTGCGAACAACGCCATCGAACTTCTCATGCCAGAATTTTGGTACCTGCTTAAGTTTATATGACTTAACAAGTTTACAAACCTTACCAGCTGGAGCATCAAGTCCTTCTGGTTTCTCCATGTAGATCTCTTCTATGAGATCTCCATTGAGAAAGACAGTTTTCACATCCATCTGATGTATGACGAACCTTTTAATCGCCGCCCATACGATAAGTACTCTGATGGTAGTGATCTTGCAAACTGGTGCATAGATATCAAAAAAATCTATACATTCTTTCTGAGAGAATCTTTCGCCACCAGTCTTGCTTTGTACTTTTCAATAGTACCATCAGGACGAAGCTTCTTCTTGAAGATCCACTTGCAATTGATAGGCCTTGCACCTTCAGGCACATCCACCAGCTCCCAAGTGTGATTTTGGATCAATGAATTCATCTCATCATCTATAGCTTCTTTCCACAGAAGAACGTCTGTTGACTGCATTGCTTCTTGAAAAGTCTGTGAATCTCCTTCCACATTATAGGTGATGAATTCATCTCCAAAATCTTTCTGTCTTCTGAAGCGCTCGGAAGATGGTTCGATAACTCCTTCATCATTGATTGGCTCCTCTTGTGCATTTGATGTATTAGCATTCTCTACTACATCTTTGAGCAATAAGTCTTTATGTTTGATAAACTTATCCTCAAAGAATTCTGCATCCCGAGCTTTAATGATGGAGTTGGTTCCAAGGTCTAGGAACCTTCACGCATTGCTATCTCCAGCAAAGCCAAGAAACACATATCTGTTTGTCTTTGGTCCGAGCTTAGGTCTTCTGATATCTAGAATTCGAACATAGGCAAGACACCCCCACACTTTGAGACTATCCAAAGAATCTGAATATCCCAACCATAACTGATGAGAAGTACTATCAGTTTTGGAATATGGTACTCTGTTCAGAATCCAGCTTGCCATTAGCAAAGCCTCTCCCCAATAGCAGATAGGTAGACCAGATGTGATTAGCATCGAATTCACCATTCGGTCAATGTGCGATTCTTTCTTTCTGCAATCCCATTAGATTGAGGAGAATACGGAGCAGTAGTTTCTGCAATGATTCCATGCTCCTTGAAGTATGCTTCCGATTCCTTAGATCGGTATTCTCCTCCTCTGTCGCTCCTGAGTCTTTTCACATGCAATCCAAGCTGCTTCTCCGCTCGAGTCCGAAACTCGACAAATTTACTGAAGGCTTCATCTTTAGATTTCAGCAGGTAAACATGGCAGAAGCGAGAATGGTTGTCAATGAAGGTGATGAGGTACTTCTTTCTGCCACAAGTGATGAAGCTCTTGAAGTCACAAGTATCTGAATGAATCATATCCAACAGGTTGGTGCTTCTCGTGACACTTGAAAATGGCTTCCTCGTCAGCTTTGCTTGCGCGCAAACTTCACACTTCTCAGGTTTGTTACCCCCACATTTTGGAAGTAATCTTAACTTCTCCATGCTAGATAATTTTCTATAATTTACATGTCTCATCCTATTGTGTCATAACACAGAGGAGTAAGCAGAAGATGATACTTCATTTACAACGGGGTTGGGTACACTCGTACTGATTTTATACATGCCATCAGTACGATATACATTGTCAAAATACATTTTCTTAAAGGATAATACAGCCTTTCCTCCTTGGAAATCCAGCCTCATGCCTGCATCACACAACATGCTTCTAGAGACTAAGTTTTTGACAATTGAGGGAACGTGTTTCACATCCTTCAATGTGAGAGTCTTTCCCGAAGAAAGAGTCAGCACCACAGTCCCAGTTCCAAGAACAGGAACCACAGAACGATCAACCATTGATACGTTCTCTTTGGTAGCAACATAAGAAGAGAACATATCTCTATTGGAGCATACATGACAAGTAGCAACCGTATCTAACCACCAACTAGAGATGTTGCTTGGAGTTGTTATCTGGAAGAGCATGGTCACACAATCATCAACTTGATTGATATTGTGTGTTGTTTTCTTCTTTGGTGCTTTACAGTCTTTGGCAAAATATCCTTGCTTCCCACAGTTGAAGTATTTTGCCGCTCTTCTTGAACTCCTTCTTTTGGACGTTCAGGTTCTTCGGATTCTGATTCTTCTTTATGTTAAAAGATTTATTCTTCTTGAAAGATGAATTATTACCCTTTTTAGAGTTAGTTGCCACCATGTTAGCAGACGCCTTCTGCTTAGCAAGGAGCTCAGTCTTCGTGCGAGTCCGAGTCTCATCCTCGATCCAAATGAACCTCTTCAAATCAGACAGTGTCACCTGTCTTTTCCTTCTCCGAATGTCAGTGGAGAATGACATCCAAGATGGAGGAAGCTTTTTGACAATTGCACCAGAAATGAAGGTTTGAGAAAGACTGATCTTTTCATGCTTCAGCTTCATAACAAGCTTTTCAAGCTCTTTAACTTGAGGCAAAACCTCGGTATCATCTTCAAACTTCAAGTCCAGAAATTTGTCAATGAGGTGAGATTTGGACAGCTTCTCATCATTGTACTGGTCCTCCAGAGCATTCCATATTTCCTTTGCAGAGGGATTGTTGGTGTAAGCATCTGCTAGATGATCTGCCAGACAGTTAAGAAGATAACTCCTGCAGAAGTGATCATCTCTAGCCCAAAGAGGTTTCAGCTTCAGAGTCTTCTTTAGAGTTAGATTTTTCCTCAGAAACCACATAGTAGATTTTCAGGAGTTGCATCTCGAAGATTACTTTCCGATGCCATGCGTTGAAGTTGGAACCGTCAAAGTTCTCTAACTTAAGACAGTCCACTCCAAGAGTCCTCGTAGGATCCATTGTAGATCAAAATAATGCTTTAAGATTGTTGGCGCCTGTGGTTAAATCTGGAATAATACAGATATATAATAACAAAAACTGAACAGAAATTTGAAGTACAATAATTTAAAATTTTCAACTCAGCTACTGTGTGTTTCTAAAACGCTGTGCTTAAAGCATTATTTGGTCTACTCCGGTGCAAGGATCCCAAGGCCAAATTGCTTTCAGGAACAGCAGTCTAGTACTCTGGTGTGTACCGACCCAGTACTGTCAAGATCTCCTCGATCTATAAGGCAAAGATCTTCTCGATCTATCAGGCAAAGATCTCCTTGATCTATCAGGCAAAAGATCTCATCGATCTATCAGGCAAAAAATCTCCTCGATCTATCAGGCAAAATTCCTATAAGCACCAATTATTTTACAATCTATATATGTATATATTGATTGTTGTTTTTGGAATAAATTTTCCTTAAGGATTTGAGGTCTATTTATAGCGTTTGGGAAAATACTATGCACTAAATAAAATAATATATTTTACTATACATGTGGGGCCCACGCTCTTATTTTTCTTTAGTGGGGCCACCACTTTATGTTAATTTCAACAAAAAATTGGCAGCCTAGCCTAATTTTAGGTAGCAGCTCATGTGTGGTTTCTTTGATTAAAAAATTAATATCCAACAAGGTGTATCCTCTTAACCAACACTTTTCCTTTCAGCACTGACTAGCAAACTTAATGTGAAGTGAACTGCATATCTGCATTGCTCGTATCTTTTATTTTATTTTATTTAATAATTAGTTTGACTATATTGTTTTTGCTTTAGTTTTTGAGTAGTTATATCTAAATTACAAGAGTTAGCCTACCATTATACTGCAATACACAAAAATACGAAAATGTGAGGTTCTTTAGAAATTGCAATGTGAATGAGAGTAGGGCAACTCATGTAGTTTAGTTGACATTTTCTTTTCATTTTTATTCACAAATGTTATTTCAGCGAGTGGAAACGTATCTTATCTTTTACATAATTGCTGTGCATGTCAGGAAAGGATTGGTTAATGCATTATCTATACATTTCAAATTTTCAATCATCTGAAAGAGCTTTTTTTTGTCATTATTATTGCCTTAGCCTGCTTGCCGCATAACTCCTTATGTTGTTTTTTCACTTTACGGGATTTGCGCATCAGTTTTCGGGATTTGTTTTTTCACTTCACTTTACGGGATTTGTTTATTATCTTATTTTCATGTCCTGTAATCTTCAGCTCGACATGAACCATCACCTGAAAGGAAAAGGTATACTCAAGCTTGCAGAAGAGGATGTGCCTCCAGAGGATATCGTCTACCATAGATTCTACATAAACAAAACAGGATCCTCAAAGAAACCCAAGGTGAAGAAGAAAAAGGCTGCAGAAGATGCTGCTGCTGCTGAAGTGTTGTTATTAGCTGCAAGTGATGGAAGCGACGAGGAGATTGATAACATGCTTGGGTCAGGACATATTTCTTCAGCAGAAGAGGGTGCAAGGGGAATATGACTATGATGATCTCGACCGGAGTAGTCAATGAGGATGATAATGACTTGATTGGAAATGAAAGCGATGCAGAAACATGCGAGCATCGATCTAACGCAAAAGAACTTGGTGACAATAAACGTGATGAAGGTGTTGTTGATGATGATGATGAAGTTATGAAAATAGGCAGCTATGACGGCGAGGATATGGATGAGGATGATGTTATGAGCAGTGGTGGGAATGAAGATGATATATCCAGTAAGACCAAGGGTAAGAAGATGAAGAAATTGGAAGGCAAGACCCGACCATCTCCATGTGCTAGTATGAAAGAGTATGAGCATTTGACGACTGACGACAAGGAATGCAGTAGGAGGAAGAACAAATTACCATAGAAGAAGAAGAGGAAGACCTCCAAAGTCAAGATTATATGCATTCAATGTGCAATTTCTATGGTGGCAGCGGTTGGATGTTTACGAAGAAAACCAAAGGGGTTAAATATAGAAGAGTGGAGATTTGATGTTGCTGGAAGCAGTAGGAAAATGAGCAAACTGTGAAAGCAACTACTAGAAATCCGATGTGCCAATGTATAAGCATCTCCCGCAGTACAAATGAATTTTGTTTTCTGACATTGTATTTACTTTCTATGTCAGCAACGTGAATTCTCCAGCTTATATCAATTTATATGACAGTTTGGTTTTCTGAAGTTTATGTGTACGAAGTATTGACATCTACCTTGAAGTGATTATTACTGTAGGCAATCAGCAATCGAGGGTATTTTCTGCCTTCACCATGTTCGCTACTTTTTTTGTAATTTAATATTGTTTTCTTAATTTCTAAAAGAGAATTGTCTTGACAGTTTCGAATGACCGATCGGAAATTAAGTACACGAAATTCACGATTTCCATGTGACGTAATGAATTTTTTTTTGCAATTTGTGCTTGTTGCGTTTTTTTGTTCGATTCAACTGGATGGAAATTACTCTATGTTCATTAAAATTTATGATTTTAATAGTAGGTTATAATCAATAATTTTTGTCAAATCTCATCATTTCAAATGGCGACTAAACACGCATAGCTCACAATTCGTAATTTTCATGCGCTTATAACTCGCGATTCTTTTTTCAAATGGTGCTCGCTTCAAGTAAATAAAAATTAAGCATCAGTGTACAAAAATATATGATTTTTGTGGGTTATAACCATAATTTTTGTCTAGTTTCATTCATTTCGATTAAATAGAAATTAAGCACGCATGGTTCAGAAGTCATGTTTTTAATAGACTACATAACCAATGAATTTTGCAATTTTTGTTCAATTCAATTGAATGGAAATTAAGTCTGTGTACATCAAATTTATGATTTTCAAAAGACTATAACCTACAGTTTTTTCTTTTGAATTTCATTTATTTTAACCAAATGGTAATTAACTACGCCCATGAAGTTCATGATTTTTATGGATTATAATGCACAATTTTTGAAGTTTATGCACTTTTTGATCTAATAGAAATAGAGTATAGATTCATCAAAAATTACCATTTTCCCAGACTAACCCATGAGTTTTGTCAAATTTTGTTCAATTCGACCAAATAAAAATTGATTATGCATAGTTGAAAATTCATGATTTTTATGGGCTATAACTCACGGCACTCAAAGTTTGCGCTTGTTTCAACCAAATGATGATTAAGTATGCATCGTCCAAAATTCATGATTTTAGGGGCTATATAATCCACAATTTTGTTAATTTTTGTTCTTCTTGACCAAAGGCAATTAAGAAGCATAGTTCAAGATCTATGATTTTCATGGATTTATAACCCATGATGTTCACAATTTGTGCTTGTTTCCACCAAATGAAAATAAACCATGAGTACATAAAAGTTTAAGATTTTCATGGTTATAACCCACGTTTTAGTCAAATTTTGTTCGGTTCGACCAAATGTACATGTAGTTCAAAATTCATAATTTTCATTGGTCTATTACCAATTTTTTTTGCACTTTTGTTCTTTTCAACCAAACAATCATTAACTAGGTGTACATATAGTTTAAAATTCATGATTTTTCATGGCCTATAATTCATAATTTTTATAATTTTTGTTCAATTCAACCGAATGGAGATTAAGTATGCATACATAAAAATTTATGATTTTACTAGGTTATAATTTATGATTTTTATCAAATTTTATTTATTGTAACCAAATAATAATAAATTACGTGTAGTTCAAAATTCATTATTTTGATGTGCTTATAATCGACGAGTTTTGCAAATTATGCATGCTTCCACCAAATAAAAATTAAGTGCTAGTGAACAAAAATTTACGATTTTCAAGAGCTATAATATATTTGTCTATTTTCATTTATTTTGATAAAATAACACCTAAGTACGCATGGTTCAAAATTCGTGCTCTCATGGGCTATGTAACCATTACTTTTGAAAATTTTATTCAATCCAATCAAATTGAAATTAAGCATGTGTAAATCAAAATTTGTGATTTTCAAGCGATATAACCTACAATTTTTGACAAATTTTATTCATTTTGACCAAATAAAAATGTGTGCTCATGATTTTTGAAATCTGTGCTCTTTTGGACCGAATAGAAATTATGTATGTTACATCAAAGTTAGCAATTTTTAACAACTAACTTGTGATTTTTCCCCTTCAAATTTTTGAATTTCATAATTTCAGACAAATGACAACTAATTAGGCTGATAAAATAACACTTAAGTACGCATGGTTCAAAATTCGTGTTCTTGTGGGCTATGTAACCATTAATTTTGCAAATTTTATTCAATCCAATCAAATGGAAATTAAGCCTGTGAAAATTAAAATTTGCTATTTTCAAGCGCTATAACATATGATTTTTGTCAATTTTTTTTCATTTTGACCAAGTAAAAATTTGTGCTCGTTTGGACCGAATAGAAAATAGGCACGTTTACATCAAAGTTAGCAATTTTAAGTTTTTTACCCGAAACCCATACCCATTACCCGACCCGTCCTTCATACGTTCACTAGGTAGAAAATCTCTCATTCTCAAGACACCTAAACCGTAACTCTCTCCAAGTCTCCAAAGTCCGACCTCACCCTGTAGCGGCCGCCACCCGCCAGCCCACTTCGCCCGCTAGTACCAAGTAGTCTCAACGGTTCATCTCCTAACCCTCGGAGAGAACGAATCAATCTCCTTGCGATTCTCCTTCCAATTTCTGGTGTGAACCCTAATCTCTCTATTATTTCTTTTATTTTTCGTCTATTCTCGATCTATTTGAACTTCTGAGCTGAAATTTCGGTGAAAGAGGAAAATAATATTTTTCGTCTATTCTCGATCTATTTGAACTTCTGAGCTGAAATTTCGGTGAAAGAGGAAAATAATTTTGAGGTAATTTAAATTCTCGATCTATTTGAACTTCTGAGCTGAAATTTCGGTGAAAGAGGAAAATAATTTTGAGGTAATTTAAGATTTGTGTTTCTTAGTTTAAACAGATCTGGGATATTTCGTTGTATTTGTTGTAGATCTGATAGAATGTTGTTAGATTTAAGGTTTTAAGTGATGATTTTGTGCAAAATTGTTGTTTTTTTAGTTGAAATATCTTCTTGACCTGATTTAGATCTGCTGAAGGTGTATTGATGTAGTAATTTGATTATGGAGGTCATTGATGCAGTTTCTTCTTGAGTTAAAGGATAATAGAAGGATGAATATAGTATATTATCTAGGTATTTATTTTGTGCTGATGATCTAGGTATTCATCAAGGATGAACGGCATATGATAGATAGCTAACAGTTTTATGTGTTTACTAAAGTTGATTCTCAAGGTTGATCTATTTGTTTGAATTTATGATTTAGATCTTTTTGGATTCTTGGGATTCTTGAGGTATTTCGTTAAATGAATAATCTTGAGGTTGATTTTGGATGATGTTAATTGACTGTACTTATACTATATCAAAAGGTTTCAGATAGAGTTTTCATATTTGTTTCATTTTTACTATATCTAACAATTTGTTATGTGTATTATGTTGATTCAGATAGAGTTTTCATATTTGTTTCATTTTTACTATATCTAACAATTTGTTATGTGTATTATGTTGATTCTTAAGGTTTTAGATCTAGTTGTGGAGTATTGGAATTCTTGTGGGTATTAATTAAATGAATGATTTTGGATGCAGATAACTTTTTAAAATGATCGACCCTCAATGACCAGTTGGTTGTTAAAATGATCGACCCTCAATGAACGCCTCTACTTGTGGGATCTATAAAAGTTAACTTTTTATCGAGATCAGATACAGATAAAATAACAGGAAGATATTTTACAGTGGTAAAAGATCACAATGAAAATTTTTTAGGGTTTCATCGAGGTTGGTCGGATGACAAAAGCAGATGCACCAACCTTCTGATGGATGTAATGGAACTCTGCCACCAGCTCGGAGCCCTCAAGCTGGCTAGTTATCTAGTCAATATCTAAAAAAAAAAGGAGTATTTAGAGGGGAGGTTAGTCCACCCATCTTATAATCAGTGAATTTTTCCATGACCATTTCCTTGAAGAAGTAAATAATAAAATTTTGCAGAAAGCTCTTCATGCAGTGAATGTCCTTGTACCCAACAATCCTGTGGAACATAAATCTCTCCCTCCTGCGCAGCTTCCGTTCGTTGTTCAACGCATCTTTATGGACCTCTATGGGGTTTTCGTTGGTACATTCTAATCTTTAATCTGACAAAGTATAATAGCAACATTATAACATGTATCATTAGACATGTTTTGATCTACCAAATTGTATACCAAGATAGTATCTATTTTCTTCTATAACTTCTCTGAGCACTGTCCCACACAGAACACTTGATATGCTTGAAACGGTTGGTGCTGAAGCTGATGGTGGAGATACTACAGCACGGGCTCTTGCTACAACTTAAGGGGATGATTTAAAAACTGATCGAGATTATAATAAGACGGTTGGAATTTTTACAATTGGAGCATCCTTAAGGGGATGATTTAAAAACTGATCGAGATTATAATAAGACGGTTGGAATTTTTACAATTGGAGCATCTATTACATTGATTGCGTATGCTGTAAAATAATTATAATAAGACGGTTGGAATTTTTACAATTGGAGCATCTATTACATTGATTGCGTATGCTGTAAAATGTGAAACTAAGATAGGTTTTGTCATAGCTGATCTCGTAATAGTTGTCATCGGATTGCTAATTACTATAATTAGGATGGGCCTGGACGCGACAAAGAAGCTTAGTCGAAATGGGACAAGAAACTTCACATTCAGTTACCTCTTCCTTATTTTGTTGTATGTCATAGCAGACGCTGTTTCCTATGGGTATAAGAAAGTTTGAGTGATCTTATGGTTGTGAAGATTTGTTTATCTAGTCCAAAGATTTGGTGATGACTATGTTAGGTGTGTAGTGTAGATACGAGTGTGCGAACCTAAACTAACCAATTTTTGTTTTTGCCTCGTGATTCTCAAAAACTCACATATCATGGGTATACTATGGTGGTTGTTGACGGTTGTCACAGTTTTATTATGGTAATCAATCCATCGCTGTCATATTTTTTCCTGCTATGTAACTATTTGCTGTAAAACTTTAGATTACAGCTCTTTTGTCATGAACAAGTTATGGACTAAAAGTTTTATTTCTTAGTTGAGTGTTTGGCGTGAAGGTTGTTTTGGGAACTAATGAGTCCAAAGTTTATTGTTCCTTGTTCTACATTTGATCCCTCTTGTTTTTGTTTTATTTTTCTCTGAGAAACCATTTGTGCCTTTTCGGTTTGTGGTGGGGATAAAAAATTGCAAGGCCTGAATAGTGAGGGAGCAATTCAGCTACAATGGAAATATGGATGTGCTTCAGGGAAGTCAAAACTTTTATGACAAAAGAGCTGCAATCTAAAGTTTTATAGCAAATAGTTACATAGCAGGAAAAAATGTGGCAACGAGGGATTGATTACCATGATAAAACTGTGGCATCCGTCAACAGCCACCATGATATACCCATGATATGTGAGTTTTTGAAAATCACGAGGCAAAAACAAAAATTGGTTAGTTTAGGTTCGCACACTCGTATCTACACTACACACCTAACATAGCCATCACCAAATCTTTAAATTGGTTAGTTTAGGTTCGCACACTCGTATCTACACTACACACCTAACATAGCCATCACCAAATCTTTGGACTAGATAAACAAATCTTCACAACTCGTATCTACACTACACACCTAACATAGCCATCACCAAATCTTTGGACTAGATAAACAAATCTTCACAACCATAAGATCACTCAAACTTTCTTATACTCATAGGAAACAGCGTTTGCTATAACATACAACAAAATAAGGAAGAGGTAACTGAATGTGAAGTTTTTTGTCCCATTTCGACTAAGCTTCTTTGTCGCAGCCAGGCCCATCCGAATTATAGTAATTAGCAATCCGATGACAACTATTACGAGATCAGTTATGACAAAACCTATCTTAGTTTCACATTTTACAGCATACGCAATCAATGCAATAGATGCTCCAATTGTAAAAATTCCAATCGTCTTATTATAATCTCGATCAGTTTTTAAATCATCATCTAAGTTGTAGCACGAGCTCGTGCTGCAGCATCTCCACCATCAGCTTCAGCACAACCGTTTCAAGCATATCAAGTGTTCTGTGTGGAGCGGTGCTCAGAGAAGTTACAGAAGAAAATAGATACTATCTTGGTATACAATTTGGTAGATCAAAACATGCTTAATGATATATGTTATAATGTTGCTATTATATTTTGTCAGATTAAATGTTAGAATGTACCAGCGAAAACCCCATAGAGGTCCATAAAGATGTGTTGAACAACGAACGGAAGCTACGTAGGAGGGAGAGATTTAAGTTCCACAGGAACTTTGGGTACAAGGACATTCACTGCATGAAGAGCCTTCTGTAAAATTTTATTATTTACTTCTTCAAGAAAATGGCCATGGAAGAATTCACTGATTATAAGATGGGTGGACTAACCTCCCCTCTAAATACTCCTTTTTTTTAGATATTGACTAGATAACTATCCAGCTTAAGGGTTCCGAGCTGGTGGCAGAGTTCCATTACATCCATCAGAAGGTTGGTGTTTCTGCTTTTGTCATCCGACCGACCTCGATGAAACCTTAAAAAGTTTCCATTATGATCTTTTGCCACTGCAAAATATCTTCTTGTTGCTTTATCTGCATCCGATCTCGATAAAAAGTTAACTTTTAGGGTCGATCATTTTAACAACCGATTGGCCAATGTTGAGGAGCCGGCGGGCGACGGAGCCTAAGGAGGTTCTTGTGAATAAATGGCCTGGCATCGCTCTATCGCAGAGAGGATTCGTGGTGGTGTCCGGTTGAAGAGTCGGAGGCGCAAACGAACAAATACTCGCCGCGGAGACGGGGTTCGACGGTGGTGGGGGCGGATGGTAAGAGGGACAACGGTGGTGTTGGGATGGTTGGACGCGCCCCTGTCAAAGCAGCACTCCCGTCGTCACTGCTGTTCGAACACTGGTGACGGTGGCAAACCTCAAGCCAAACCCTAGCTGCTGAACTTAGTTTTCTTATTGAGTTTAAATTGTTATTGCGTTTTCGAAGCCCAAACCAATCAGGTATAAGTTTTTCAACTTAACAGGTTTGACCCGCATTAATTTGAAACTCGAAATTCATTTAGTGCTAGATTTCAAGTTAAACAGATTTGACCTGATATAACTTTAAACTGGAAACCCGAATCATATTATGAATAGGATATTTGATATCGGGTATGACCCTAACCCAAGTTCAAAACAAACTTAATTTCGCAAAACGGGTCTGACTTGAGAACAAAACGCGTACCCGAACTTTGTTAGTTTTTAATTTTATTGTAAAATTATTGAAACCCCTGATCGACCCAAAAAAATTTCTAACCTCCATCGGGTTCTCAAACATGATGTAAATTTAGTTATGGCCCCCTGATTGATCCAAAAATTATTGTGCAGCTCACCAGTTTATTAATTTGCTATAAAAATTATTTTAGCTCCCTGATTCATGCTGAAATTGTTTTAGAGCCCATCTGAGTATTAAGGCTAATTTTTTATTAGTCCCTAACTGTAGCGCAAATTGTTTTAATGTCCATATACATGTATAATTTAGTTTCTTTTATTGATAAGATTATTCAACTCTTATTGAATTGTTAGGATTGATATTGTATCATGTATATTTCTGAAATACTCGTGACATGAATGTGTTGATTTTAAATTGTTTAAATTTAACAATTCATGTGATTAAAGTAATTGCATGGAAAATTACTGTTCGGTCCAGAATATGTTCTAAATTTTTTATTAAATATAAACAATTTAAAACTTGTTAGAAATTGACTGCTTATTGAAATTTTCTATATAAATGAAAACTGCTGGACAATCTTTATTCTCATTTCTCACAATCTTTCTTTAGATTTTACAGGCACCTGGCTTGAGTTTTTTGGGCACTGGCTACTTAATGCAGCTCCATCCTTCTTTGTCCAGGCTTAGGGCAAGCCTTGCAAGGACTAATGTTTTAAGCATGACATTTGCAGAGTCTAGTCTCAACTGTTTATTTTGCAATATGCTATTTAGAAATGAAGATTCTAGCCTTTGCAGTGATTTAAATGTGAAAGTATTTAAAGGCCAAGAGGGTAGATAGACATGCTGTCATAACCAGGATGCGACATGCGGCTACCCACGAATTCTGACATGTAGCAATCAGACAGTGAAAACATGACCCTGAGTGTAGGGTTTATACATTTGACATAGACATGACTTGACAATAGTGTTACCACTAGTGTGATTATATATTGGATTTGAGTCCGCTTTCCAGTGGAAAATTTTAGGCATGAAGAAAGATTTTTAGGTGAATAACAAAGGGATTATTTGCGTTACTTTTGTAATTAACAACAAATATATAAAATGCTTTCAGCAAATAAAAAGCAATTAGTTACAGGTGCGGGCAGATTTGTTAGTAATAGTATGAACTGAACCTTTGAGAATTATCAGGCATGCTTCTTGGAGTATTTTCTACTTTATTCTTTATATACTGTTAAAAGAGAGGTATCAGTTTTTTTAATTATCTTCAGAATATGGATTGCCCACACGAAGGTAGTCTCTATTATGAAGTTCTGTCTTTCTGATAGATATTTTGAAGTACCATTTAGCTTAATTTCAGTTTGACCACTACGGATTTAGAGGACCACCTGAGCTTTGCCAGTTTCCGCTTCCTCTTTTAGGCAGAGTAGGGTTGTAGTTCATTTGTTGAATCGTAATTTGCGGAAACCTTGTTTCAAGTTCTCTCAGCCAACAGATTACCCCGCAGAGAAAAATTTAGTTGTAGGTCATGCTACTACTTGCACATGAACTGCTGGTTTTAGTATGTTGTTGAGTAGATTATACTCTTAACATTAAAAGAAAATAGCGAAGCAGGGTTTGTACCTGACAAAGTCTTCCTTGCTGCTGACTTCAATTTCTCCTTTTTTCGTGTACGTATTTCTTCCTCGATGACATGCTGAAGAGTATCCTGTTAACTGTTATTATTGGGATTTTCCAGAGCCATTCTAAAATCTAAAGTCAACATTTCTCTAAATGGTGTATATGTTTCAGGTTGTAAATACTTCAGAGAAATCAAAGGCCAAAGGAGCAAGAAACGGTGAGCTTGTTGCTGCCAAGGCTCAACAGACATCATTTCAGCTAGTCGATCATGGCCAGCGCCTGCCTGCTACATAACCTGACATTGTGAATACTTCTCAGGCTGGAAATTTTCAAGTCCTCAACGGAGAGAAGAATGACACCTCTACTAATCTCATAGATGGACCACCTGTAACTATGACTAGCAAAGTGGCAACATCAGTTGATAGCGTTCCATCAGTTAACAATTCAATTCCACATTTGAAGTTGATGCCAACCAATGCGAAACTCAAGCTAATGGCGTAGGAGGCGAGAAGAAACCTCCATTTGTCACAAGACATAAACAACTCTTCTTTAATTCCATCCGGAAGCTAGCAGAAGAGAAAAGTGGTGTATTGCATCGTTATTCTGATCGTGAAGTGAGCTCTGCTACATCATCATCTTCATCCGAGCCACCAATACCCAATTCAGTGATCAAATCAGATGAGCAGATACTTGGAGTTTGTGCAGCTTCTGCCTGTGAGGAAAAGAACCTGAAACCTTAGTTGCTGAGAATGACAATGACAATATGCGCAATGAAGAACCTGAAACCTTAGTTGTTTTGGATGAGGAAGAAAAAACATTTGTGGATTCACTTGGATGGAACGAAAATGCTGGGGAGGATGCCTTAACAGCTGAGGAGATTGTCAAGAAGGTAAAATGAAACTCTGTAGGTTTTTTTAATCATACTTATCTGCTTTTCGAGGGGGCTTCTTATTTCTAGCTGAGTTCTTAATTTCCAGAGTCTCAGCAGGATGGCAGTGAGTCTCGGCAGGATGGCAGTGAGTCTCTTCAAGATTGTAGTGAGTCTTGGCGGGATGGCAATCTGGATTGAGTTTGTCCATCTTGGCGCGATGGCGGCAAGTTTTAATTTTTTTTGTTAATTGATGGTGATCGGGTTTGAAAGACAGAGATCTGATTGGAGCGAAGAGGAATCAAAAGCCTAAGATGTTTTCTCAATGTGAAAGATGGTGAGCTATAATTTTTTTCAGCCCTTTTGCTTCCTTCAAGAATGTAAAAAAGAATGCGTGGAATGCAAAATAAGATGATGGATTGATCGGAGTCAAGGAAGGTAGATATAAGTTTTCTAGATATCTGCACAGTATTGGAAATCTTATTGCTTAAATTTTCCTTTGATGAAAAAAAAATGGTATCTTTTGTTTATCGTCGGTTCTTATGCGCTAGTATTTAAAGAGCAGGAAAAAAAAAGTTCGGATTGATCTTTAGTATATACAAGCAGTTGGCGTGAGCTCCAGGCTGTTTTCTGAAATTGAAACCAATTTGTTCATCCTCGTAATTTTTTAGCAAAGTGACGATGTTTTAGTGGAATCAGCTGTAGGATTCACAGAGGAGAGGTCCAAATCTAGTAGAGCTGCAAGAGATAGATGTAGAAATATAAAATGAGTTTTCTGCATGGTCGCGCTATTAATGCTGCTGAAACATTGTAGTGTGAAGAAACATGTTATGGGAGATAGAGTTATATCGCGAGGATCAATACGGTTTAATTTTTTGCTGTTTACTGTTTATGGAAGAAGATTGGATGAATAAATTCCAATAAACAACGCTTAGATGGGAACTAGTTTGTCGACTAATAAGCTGACCGCATAAAACTAAAGAAAAGAAAAGAAAAAAAAAATCTTATGTTCGCATTGCTTTCAGTAGCGTAACTCATCCTGATATACTTACTTTGGATACATAAACATGTACCATATGAAAGTTTCAAGACAAAACTCTCTTAGAAATTGAGAAAACAATAATATTACATTACAAAATATAGTAGCAAATACGGTTAAGCGGATGACCCACGGTTGCTGACTGCATAAGTAATAATCAAGATGTCAAAACATCATACACAAAAAACTTTAAGAAACAAATCTGTTAAATAAATTGATATAGCAGGTGAATTAAAAGTTACAGACAGAAACAAAATTCCATCAACTAATGGCACTCCTCTACCCTCTTCTCCAAATAAATGCTCCCGCAACCTCCACGCTGAAGAGATGCTTATACGCTTGCACATCAAGTCTCTTGCTGTTGCTTCCACAGTTTGCTCATATTCCTAACACCTCCAACACTGTCAAATCTCACTCTTTTATATCTAACTCCTTTGTTTTCCATGTAATATCCAACCGCTGCCACCATAGAAAATTGCACAATGAATGCACACAATTTAGACTTTGTATGTCTTCCTCTTCTTCTTCCTTGGTAATTCAGGCCTCTTCCTACTGCTTTCCTTGTCATCAGTCATGAGATGTTCATACTCTTCAAGACTTGCAGATGGAGATGGCGGCTCTTGCCTTCAAATTTCCTCTTCTTCTTACCCTTGACCTTACTGGGTTTATCATCTTCACTGTCATCACTGCCCACAGGCTCATTCACATCGACATCTTCACCATCATCCCTTTCCAGTATCATGTCAAAACTACCATCATCATCATCAGTAGCAGCAGCCGCAACACCATCATAACTTTCACTGCCACTATGTTCTTTTGCATTAGATTGAGGTTCGCTGGTTTCTGCATCACTTTCATTTCCAAGCAAGTCGTCATCATCCTCATCGACTACTCTGTCAAGATCATCATAATCATATTCCCCTTAACCGTCTTCTTCTAAAGGAATATGTCCTGTCCCAAGCGTGTTATCAATCTCCTCCTCATCGCTCTCATCACTTGCAGCTAATAGCAATTCTGTTGAATCCACAACAACGGACTCAATCCACAACAAGTCTGGACGTTTGGTTGGTATTGGTGTCGGCTCAGTTTTATTGGAAAACTTCACCGAGGTGGAGATTATTGTCAAAACATGCGACTCCCTGATAGCCTCCATATTTGACCAATAATCTCCACCTGGGTGAAGTTTTGACAACGGACTCAATCCACAACAAGTGGGACGTTTGGTTGGTATTGGTGTCGGCTCAGTTTTATTGGAAAACTTCACCGAGATGGAGATTATTGATCAAATATGGAGGCTATCAGGGAGCCACATGTTTTGACAAAATTGAAGAGAGAGGGGAGCTGGTTCAGCCTTGTTTGACAAAGGGGGAGCTGCAGACAACGTGCATGAAAGGGAGAGGGGGATGGAGGCTATAAATCCCCCTCTCCTCTAACTTCATAATCATCCATCAGAGCTTCTGAGTCTACTTGAGATTTAGAAAAGAAGCTTGAGAAAATAGGAGTGATTAAGAGAGTGATTATGGTTTCTTAATTGGGCAATTTTGTGAGAGAGATTGAGAGTAGAGGAAAAATCAAGAGTGATTTGTTTGTGGGATTATTGAGTGAATGTAATCTCTATTTGTACTCTCCCTCTCTATTAGTGAGATATATCCCCTTCTTGCCTCGTGGACGTAGGCATATTGCCGAACCACGTAAATTTGGTGTCTAGCTTACTGTGGTACTTGTTTTGATCTCGTTTGTGATTACGATTCCGCTGCGCACAACAAATTCTTCAGCAGCACCATCATCTTCTGAGGCCTTTTTCTTCTTCGCCTTTGGTTTCTTTGAGGATCCTGTTTTGTTCATGTAGGATCTATGGAAGACGATATCCTCTGGAGGCACATCCTCTTCTGCAAGCTCTAGTATACCTTTTCTTATCAGGTGATGGTTCATGTCGAGCTGAAAATTACATGACATAAAAATGAGATTAGAAACAAATAAACAAGAAAACTGAAAACTAACGCACAGATCCCATAAAGTGAATATAACAACAGAAGAATTTATGCCGCAAGCAGGCTAAGGCAACCAAAAGAAGAAGAAGAAGAAAAAAAAAAAGAACTTCCAGATGACAGAATGTATAGGTAATGAATTCCAACTTCCAAGTTATTAGTACTTAACCAATCCTTTCCTGACATGCAAAGCAATTATGGAAAAAGATAAAATATGTTTGCACTAGCTGAAATAACATTCGTGAATAAAGATTAAAGAAAAATTGTTAACTAAACTACACGATTTGCTCTACTCTTGTACTACGTACAAGACATGAAAATGTGGGGACTACTACATAAACTCGTTCTCATTGCAATCTCCAAAGGACCCCACATCGTGTCTTGCAGCGCAGAAGTAGCATAACCCTTGTAGTCTATCATAACTACTCAAAAACTAAAGCAAAAGCAACACAGTCAAACTAATTATAAACAAAAAAAATTCACAGGCAATGCTGCTATCCAGTTCACTTCACATGAAGACTAACAGTTAGTATGGAAAGGAAAACTGTTGGCTAAGAGGGTACACCTTTCCTGCAGGTGCGACCTGTGATCCACCATGCCATCTACCCTCTGCTTTCTTATTTGGCTTTGGCTTTTACTCCATCAACTTATCAAGGAAAGCATCAAGTGACAGGTCATTCAAAGGATCACCATGGCAAACTATGTTGGCCCCTGAGAGTAGGGTCCGGGCCATTTTTTGCCACAGATGGATGCATGTGCGAAGCTAAAACTGTTAACTCCCACCAACTTGCACGGTCTGCATTGCTGTTAAGGCAGTCAACATATCAACCAGAAAACATAAAAGGATGAGAAATATAAACAACTAGTTATGTTTGGTAAGTGCAGCCTCCGCATTGAATGACGAGACCATATTTCACATCAACAGCATCAATGACTAGTAGATGACATATCATACACCTTTCGAATACCTTATCTTATGTCAGATTTTAATGGAAGCAACTCCAGGTTTAAGTCAATTGTATATTGGTTGGACCATATGCATGCTTGTGATGGCTTCTAAAAAATATTTTGATGTGTGACATGTGAAAATATATTCGACCCGCACATCTCAGGATTATAATTGCCTTAAGATCGTGCATATTTATTGCATAATATATGAATGTAACCTAGCTTATATTTATTGCATAATATAAGAATTGTTTGTAAGCTAGCTTACATGATTTAATTTGGTCCTTACATGTAGCCTTCCATCTCTTCCGTTGTGGTGGTAGGACTTTAGCAGTCTCTTTTCCTTCAGCACCGAACTGTCTGAGTTGATTAGGGTAGGTCAGCGTGCATCACTCGACGATCGTATCGTCTGAGGGGAGCACGGGGTTTCTGGCGATCAGTCTGTGGATTGTTGTTGGTGACTGGCGTCCGAGGCGATTCTTCATAGACGGTGATGGCAGCATTGTTCTTCTTCACTAGTAGAAAATCACGTATTCTAGACGGAATATTCTAGACGGATTTTTTTCCGTCTAGAATGTATTAAACTAGACGGAAAGTTTCCGTCTAGAATATTCCGTCTAGAATAAAACATTCTAGACGGAAAATTCCGTCTAGAATAGTTTCCTAGACGGTTTTTTTATTTTTTATTTTTTTTTAAAATAACCAGGTATTCTAGACGGAAATTTCCGTCTAGAATAATAATTCTAGACGGAAATTTCCGTCTAGAATAACGGGCCATTTTAAAAAAAAATCAACGCGTCAAAAAATTAACCGCCCTAGCTCCTTTCCCCCCCAAAATGAAAATTTTTATCCTAAAATCAGCCTCATCCCCCCAAATCCTTAACCTCACACCCCGGCCCCTCCCTCCCCCTCTACTCCCTCTCCCTCCAAGGCCAGGTCGCCGACAATCTCCCGCCACCGGAGGCGACCGCGAAGCTCCTCCTCTCGACCTCGATCTCAAAGCTCCGCCTCTACGGCGCCGACCCCGCCATCCTCTCCACTGGTGAAGAACGGCGTGGCCAAGCTCGAACCGTCCTTTACCATCGATCTCGCTGACGGCACCGTCGTCCGATGCGGCTCTTAAAGCCCTAGAAACCTCCCCTCCTCTGCTTCGTTCGCGTGCTCCTCACATCGGAGTTCGATCCGAGAATGGCCACCTCGGTGATGCTTCGAGCTATGAGGCGGCGAGATGTGGCCTCGTCTCTCTCATCTCCTCTCAGACCTGTGAGCTCTCTTTCCTCTATATTATTCTCCTATCTTTTTGATGTTATTTTGATGGAGAGAAAACCGTGTTCTATTTTGCTTGATTGATGGACTGTTGATCTGTTCAATTTTGGGGAACTCAGCTGTAACCCCAGCCCCAAAGTTGTGGGTTCTATTGGTTTTTTTTTTTTGTTGTGATTATACTCGTTATTATCTCTACATGATGATGGTCGATCGATGTTGCTTTTTTCCAATTTAGCTATTGTAAGATTAGTAACTACAACCAGTTAAGTTCGCTGTATTGATCTGCGACTATAAATTTAATAAATTGAGTTTTTTTTTTCTTTTTAAAACGTTGATCTGGGAGTTTAGGTTTCTTAGGAGAAAGGATGTGAAAAATTTGATGTTTAGATTTGGAATTCTGTAATGAAAAAGAAAACAAAGGATTAGCCAATACAGGTTGAATTCTGAGAACTATAACTCCGATAAAATCTGAAACTTAACATTTTTATGATTCATTTTCTGTTTTTGGTAAACTACTTTTTCGTATAATTTCCTTAGGACATTTCATGCTTTATCGTGCTTTATCACATATATTAGGTTTGGTTTGCTTGATCTAACATAACCATTAGCTACTCATTTCCATGATATGCAGCTGTTTATGATGTGTATGGTCATCGGTTCTTATGGAATTATGATATTGTTATGATTGAATGTTAGTGCAATCTGAATTTTTTCCCATCAAATGAGTTGCTACTGTTCTCATGGAATTAATTAAATTCGTTGGCTAGTCTTCTCAAATGTGCTTGATGAGTGGTAGTCGGGCCATATAGTGACGGTGTGATACCGATACACTACACATCAAAGAAAAATGACATGCTTGAAGATGCTAGCAGTTACTTATGTTCACTTACTAGACTAAGTAACACTCTTTGATGTGTATTGTTTCATGTACACATTCTGCAATCTATTTTACAGACTGTACAGCTAACTGCATCTGGAGATTTGTGGAGTCATTGTTGTTGTGTAAACTCCTGTTGCTTGAGGATTCAAGTCTCTAAGTAGCAACGGAAAGCTTGATATACATAAGGTAACTATTGTGTTTGCATACACCATTTTCGTAACGTCAAAATTTGGAAGGATCTCAATGTACGATATAACATGAATAAGATGTGGTCAACATTAGTGTGTAGTCAGGTTTTTACTTGATTAATACACAAGCTAGCTTGCACTCTCGCCATCTCTATATATTCTTATTAACCTGATATTAATATAGTTTTATTTAATAGATCTTTGTTTCAGGCCTGCTTTCCTCCTTCAGCCTAATTTCTCTATTTCAGGGAAAAATTTGTTCTTCGCTTTGCTAATTCCATGGACAGTATGAGTACATAAGAGGATATCTAAGGTAAGTGCTCAATTCCTCTAGAAATGGTAAATTTTCAGTATCCTTATTAAAGTTAACAAGATATCCGCATCTATAAACCACTTCTAATTTCCTTTAAAAAAACTCATTCATTATATTTCATTTTTGATGTAATAGCAATTACTTTCATAATATTTAATTCTCTTATTTGTCGCATTAATAAATCATCTTTGGATTTCCTTCCTCAAAGAATAAGCGTGGCCGAATTATGCTGATTATAAATTTCCTACAGAGATGGGGTTGCCAACTGAATATCTTGTTCCCCCTGTTAGCCCAAAAGTGGTATGTTTTGATTCATTTTATCTGGTATTATCTCAACTTATGTGGAAGAAGGTGAAGAAGAGGGTTTGAGTAAATGTATAGGGAAGGAGTTGAAGAAGCTTCTGCAGTGTTATATCCATTGTAAATAATTTATGTAAAAGTTTGTAAACAATTTATGTATCTTTCTACTATTTTGTTGAATGTATTTTTTGAATATAATGAGATTTGATATTGGAATATAATTAGATTGTGTTGGATACGAATATAATTTTTTGTTATTCAATATTGTGTGCATAAACCTAAAGTAGATTCTGCAAAAAAAAAAAAAAAGTACTGTAGCATAGCATCCTAGACGGAAATTCCGTCTAGAATGCTCAAATTCCGTCTAGGATGCCATTTTTTAAGAAAAAAAATAAAAAAAAAATAAATGTTAATTTCCGTCTAGAATGAGTATTCTAGACGGAATTCCGTCTAGAATACTCATTCTAGACGGAAATTTTTTCCGTCTAGAATGCATTATTCTAGACGGAAATTCCGTCTAGAATAATCCGTCTAGGATGTATTCTAGACGGTTTTCAATTCCGTCTAGAATATTCCGTCTAGGATATATTCTAGACGGAATTTCCGTCTAGAATACTACATCCTAGACGAAAACTTTCTAGACGGATATTCTAGACGGAATTCCGTCTAGGATGTGTATTCTAGACGGAATTTTGAGCATCCTAGACGGAATTTTCCGTCTAGGATGCCTAATTTTTTACTTGTAATTCTCCATTTTCTCAGGATGTTTGAATTTATGAATCAAGTAGAAGAGGTAGAGATAATATTTTTGTGATGAACTTTGATCCTTTTACCGTGGGGGTCTAACCGATCTCTTAATGTTGTAGCAGTGGACCTCTTCAAAAGACTAACCAATGATACGGATCATTTCTTCATAGACCAGTGAGGTTTCGCATGAAGGACTGATACTTAGAGGGGGTTTGGAAACGCTTATTTTTTTCTAAGCATACAAGTTATGATAGCTTTCGGTGGCATTTAATTTTTATCATAAAAACATTATAAAAATTATTTGGATTGTCTGGTTATTTGTATGATCAAACATAGCTTATTTATGTAAGCCTATAAGTTACTTTATTAAAAGATGAGGTATACCAGTTTTTTAGAATATAACTCAACACTTGGAAAAGCCCACGTACGGCGAATATTTTTTGTTGCTGCCGGAATAAGCAAAAGTCCAAATCCTATTAACATAGTAACTGAAAGTAGAAGAAGATGTATTATCCACGCATATTTCTATGTATGTTCCATAAAAAAACAAATTTCCATTTCGTATTTTACTGAAGCTTAAAAGCAAGTTTAACTAAAAATAGATATGTCATACCAAACACCCTTTAAATTAATAATGAGAAAGATTTAATTAAAATTAATTCTTTTGACCATCATTTACTCACTTTCGAAAAAACATGCAAATAATTGCCCGCAGGAGTGTAACCTCTGTAAATCAGAAAGACTTCTACAATCAATTGAAACACGACGGCAGTATCTAATTAGAGAATGATCCGCATCATTAGCCAGCCTCCTTTTTAAACAAAACAAAAGAATTTTATTTATTTATTTATTTAATTTAGATAGACGGAGGCTTATAAGACATCCATCAAAAATCACCAGCTAACAGAGTCAATAACCCAGACCAGTACAAATCGCCTAACTGCCTTTTAAATACAATCATTCACAAAAATTGCAATAAAGACATAAATCTGTATTTCATTTCTCTTCAACAAAAGGCAAATACATCAGGATCTTAGATGCTATATTATGATTTAAATACACATATTCGAAAGGACTAGTTCTACACTGCAGCCTCTAAGCTACCTCTCCAAATAAAACGGAGAATCAAATCAAACAAAACTAGGATATCTGGAAGATATTTGAATTTCTAAACAAGACAGGCATAACATTACTTTAAAACCGCCAAGGTTTCTTTTCCATCAGTTGTGTATGTAAGCAACTCATCGTGAATAAAGCAGCAGCTAATCCTCATTATATGCCCGCTTTCGTTTTAAGATAGTCGGGACTATAGATATGAATCCAATCATGAATAAAACCACCAAGGTCTTGAAGTCGTATAGATCTCGGACTGATTTTAGATCCCCAAGAGCAAGACCAGCCTGTAGATGAACAATTCAAAGAGGTCATGCTTCAAACAGCAAGTTTGAGTGTTCCAGAATAAGTATCACTATAAATTAGATAATACGTCGGCGTTGTCCTAGTTCAGTCTTAGGTTGCTGACCATCTTGGAGTGGCCCCAAATTAATAGTGAGTGAAAATGATCTCTCCTTAAAACCTATGGGACAGAATAATACCTGACTTTGCTGTTTAAGCGCATATTGATCATATAAAGGTGTAAAACGAAAAGGTATGATGACAACATTCCATAGGGAAACAGATTGATCTCTGTTTGCACAACGCTAATGCATTTATGTACCTATTCCAGCTATATATCCAATAAAAAGCTGCAGGGAGCATAATATGAGGTAATTCGATTATGTCATGCTATAAACTAGCTTTGAATGTCTTTTAGAGTTTGCATGTCCTTATCAGTTGGGAGACAGAAAATAAATGGAGTCTTGAAAAAAGATGCCATGTGATGATATGATGTATGATAGATGCAAGAAAATGATTATGTCATGATATTTCATGAATTTAATACTTGATTTGTTTACACCATGTGTTTATACATGACCCGTAAGTATATTATCTATTGCTCGGGACCTTGGGTGGTTAGTCAATTCAAACGGTGGAGCTATTTACTTCACCTACTGTTTATTTATTTGTTAATTAAATTTTCAAGTTACAATTTAAGGAGACAATGATTATGCCATGATTTTAATATATTTATTACTTCATTTGTTTACACTATGTGTTAATAAATGACCAGTAAGTATGTTATCTATGTTTGGGTGGATAGTCAGATCAAACAGTAGAGCTATTTACTTCAACTACTGTTTATTTATTTGCTAACTTATTTTTCAAGTCAAATGCTTCAAAAAGATAATGAATGCAGCTCACGACACAGTTATGAAATTTCAAGATTTGGGTTAACATCCATGATAGAGATTGATTCATTAGAAAGCTTATCTGTTACCTTGTTAGAAGAATGAGTTTAATATACAATCATATTATCCTTCCTCTGTGCGTGAGCAAGGGTTGTGCTCCTAGTTAACTCAAAATAACCACATCATGGCTCTTGTTAGTTTTAAAGAGAGTGCTCAGTGAGCAACACTCTTGCTAGAATCAAGGCATCATAACTAAAGTTTGAAATGCTTATGTGAAATACGTGCATGATGGAAGAGAGCATACTCCAAACAGCACTTAACTGCTACAGTAAGACTAAGGTGGCCATTTTGAATCGGACTTGTTAAGGCAGGTCACAGTTTTGCAAAGCTGGAATCCTAACACATAGAACTCGAAGTTCAATTTATCATGTCAAGCCAGATTATATACAGATATATGAGGACAAAAGCACGAGTCTTAGAAATATTTGCATGCTTATTCTTGAAATCACCAATGCATCACCTCCTTTCAGTTGCACATTCAAAATTTCAACCACAGATTTATGACATAATATGCTATATTTATGTTCAATCAATTATTCAAGTTAAGTCTAATTTTAATTCACACTTTTTGGTGCCAGAGAAACTCATGGTTTCAGAAACATGCATGATCCACAAAGAGATTAATAAATGCTTTGTCAGTTGGTTGGTCAAGCCAGCGACAAGGAAAAACAGTTTTTGCTCCTACTAGTATATAATTCAAGATAAAATGAGCAAAGCCAAAAGAATGCATAAAGGCGGCTTTCAGTTACTCAGAAGTTAGAACCATGGTAGTAGATTAGGAGTCATTTACTTAAAACTGGAGGCTTGAACATTGAGACAAAGTACTAGATGTACAATAAGCCTCTTAGAGATAAGACTTCACCACATCAGAAGCCCAACCACAGAGAAATTAAGAACCTAATTAACTAAATCTTTAACATAATGAACATATCAGAATACCGTGATGAAAGGGGGAAAAGCTTTAATAGACAAAATAAATAAGAAAACAATGAGTACAAGTAATAAAAGAAACTTACTCTGACTGTGATATAAGATGCCGGAATAAGACCAACCATTGTCGCAAGAAAGAAAATATGAAAAGGTATATCAACTATTGGCGATGCTACATTTATAAACGTATTGGGCAATGTTGGAGTTATCCTCAAGAAAAGCATATAATTCAACAGCTTTTCTCTCCGCTTCGCTATCTGCACTAGAAAGAAATAACGTTCATCAACTAGGTCATAGACTTCACCTAGGCATATAATACATAGGCAAGCAATATTAGAATACCAAGACTAGTCAAATTCGAGCTCAGAAGATGGGCATTACCTCTGCCTGGAAAAATCTCAGCTTTTCAGGCCATAACCAGTTAACCAAAGGCCTACCAATCAGCTTAGAAAGGAAGTAGCAGGATGATGCACCAGAAGTGGCAGTAAAAACAACCAAAATGACACCTTTAACAACTCCAAAAAGAGCTCCAGCTAGCAATGACATAAATATTGTTCCAGGAATCATAAATGTCTGCATGAAGATGTATGTTGCACAGTAGCCCAGCATAAATTGGGCTTGGTAATCACTTGCATACACTGCTATATTATCTCTGCAAAGAAAAAGTACGAATGAGGTAAATGAAAACTCACAGATAAAAAAAGGTCATGCATGTACTAGTAGCTTAGTTGATCATAAGCATGCAAATACTTTAGGATATCAGAGTTATGTGAAATGTGTCTGCAACATTAATTTTTAGGTTGTTGCATACTTGCATGAACAAACAGGTGATTGTAGTTTGATGCGACGGACGGTTAAAGTGTTTAAAGATGAATAATACTCCCTTCCAGTATGCTTCTGTAACAAACGCAAAATGTGTAGGGCATTTCTGCACCAATTCTGGGATGTAGAAGTCAGACTAACAGCTAGTTTTAAATTCCTAACACAAAGACAAACCAATGGAGCAAAGAGACTAGAGGTACGCCTAAAGGAACTTGTAGTTAAGAAGATATAATGGTTGGCTTATGTAATCAAGGAAATGACCCTTATCAGAACCGAATGCAGAAACCAGAAAAGGACTCATGTAGCCGGACAAAGGATTTCTTGTTGTTGTTCTGACTAAATGCATAGAACTCCACAAAACTGACTATATGCATGTATCACTTATAATCAAAGAAGTAAAGATCAATAAACAAATAGACTATAGTATCCCTATTTATAAGAGATAAATATAAGCACTATAAAGTCACAGTCTAATAATTGTATAAGTTTATAAGTTAATAATCCTGTGTGTGTGTGTGTGTGTGTAAATAATCTGTCTCTTAGCTATGGTCTAATTGATCCTTTGAGGGGCGAAAACGCGGAATAATCAGAAGGTGGTGAACTGCTGCATTTGACGTAGATAGAATACTTCGTTAATGTGTTCCAAGATGCATTACATGTAAAAGGCTAAAAGTTAAATCTTAGAGAAACTAGTACTGTTAAGTGAATTTTTATACATTATTTTCCAAGCAAAGAACAGAACATGGCAAATAGAGACAAACACACTGCACCCCACCAATAATACAGGCTTCATGATACTCTAGATAAATTTACCTGTAAGTATGTTGCATGAAAGCAAATCCTTGCTAGCATTGAGCTTGCTAGCATTGAGCATGCAACCATTACTAGAAGTTAATGATACTCTAGATAAATTACTTGCAAGTCTGTTTCTTTCAGCACAATCTTCTTTGCTAGGTGGATTCTAAAGAGAAATACAGCTACTACCAACTAACAGAACTACAGAATATAGTCAGCCCAAACAAACTACTAAGACTTGCTTTTCAAATTTCAAGTTAAAAAGACTCCATAACGCTGCAATTTACCCCTCATTTGGCATCCATATAGTTCTCACTTCTCAGGTCTCACAGCGCGTTTTTTATTGGATGGTATGACCACTCTAGCCCGTTATTAGGGCACAGAAAATACAAAATAGGTGTTCATACCATTTAATATTTTGAACTTTCTTATCTTAATAGACTTTTCTATCACATTCATCTTTTAGGTCATACTTTGGAATAACTGGGTCCTCTATTACAAATTTTAACTCCCTTGATATTGCAGGACTTGCTTAATCACAAAAGGTAATAATAAGTAAGTTAAGTTCTATTCACTTTATTGTTATCGTATCATTTGTCTATGATAGGAGTAATCCAAATACCACACCACATTTAGAAATTACTGCTGCCGCAAGTTTCACATTACTAATTCGAAGATTTTTTAAAGGTGCTACTTTAAGGAGGAAGATAACGATTTTTCCTAAGCAATTCGAACAACAATTTAACATATCAGCGTCCAAAAGGGGAAAGGGCATTACAATCCAACTCACATCAATCAAAATCATTCAGAAAACCCCCAAATTTTGAATTAAAGTTCCATTTTTGTTCAATCTGCAGCACATTACGGTTCAAATTAAAACAAATCCCTGAAGGACAAAAAAGGAAAAGAATTGACTCACTTGAGAATTCGCAGATCCGCCAAATTCCTCGGCAATCGAAGGATCCGATCGTACTCAGCCTCAGGCATAGTGAGAAATATGCAGAAAAGTCCAACGGCAAAGATGACGAAGACGGAGATGGCAGCAGCGAGCTCCCACCTAGATAACGGAAACCTAACGTCGGATCTCGGCTTCTTGCTCGTCGGAGAGTCCTCGCCGGCGCCGCTTCCGGCGCTCTCCTCGCCGACGCCATTAGAATCAGAGGAGCGAGAGATCTCAGGCTCTCAGATACTGCGTATCAGCATCAAGATCTCTGAGGATTTCTTGCAGGGAAAACCCTGGAGTTGTGAAATATGGGGCGAAAATGTAAAATTGGGGACGGAGAGGGGGTTAGGTGTAAGAAAAGAAGGGGATCGAGGATAAGAGGGGAGCAAAAGTTAATGCGACGTATTGCGGGGTTTTAGAATGTTGAACGAGTACGAAGAGGAAGACATGGAGCTGGAGTTGGTTTTGTTTTGCGTTCGGGTCGGGCACGGGTACGTTAAATCGGGTCTGAATCATAGATCCGAAGGAAAATTTTTTATAGTAACATCTTTAATTTGTGACTTTCTTTTTCTTTTTTATGATGACTTTGTTAATGATTATTATTTTTTTATGATTTAGTAGGCGTGTTTTGAACATTAAATTTTGCCTCGGGTTCTAATTCTCTCAACGTTATGCAGTAAAGCTCCTACACTATCCTGATCGGGAACAGTGTCGATGAGCATTAGGTCTTATGCCTACTATTTTTGGAAGATTTTGGTGAATTGGAATAAGATATTACGCTAAATTTCAAAATTTTAAGATAACCGAATTTCCTTCTTGAGATATACATAATAACAATGAGGGAGTAGATTGAGACACCATTCTAATTGATTTGTTCTTGATCAATAATCCTAGCCACAAATCGTTCCCCTCGTATGAGATCTCTAATGTTTTTGTTCTTGGTACCGAACATACTTATTTTTTTTCTTATATATGTATGATATCAGATGATTATCATGAATCACGTCGTGATATCTCGGAACGAATGGAGATGAAAAAAAGTATGAAAACATAGCATGCATCAGATACTTCATGCAAGTAGGGGCTGCGTTGCAAAAGATCTGCTAGTTGTTAATTTCTGAATCTGAAGTATATTGGGAAATAAGGTTCGAATATGCCCATTGATCTCGAGATACTGTGCTTTAACATGCCATGGGGATAAACCCACATACATCTTAACAAAAAAAAAAAAAAAAGCTTTCAGGCAAATATCCAGCATAAAAACTTTAAATTGTTTTTTGAACAACCATGATGGTTCAGAAACATCAATATTGTGAACGCAACGTAGATGATGCACTGGAACTAAGACAGAGGCTTGAGTTTCACCTGTCTAGCGTATTACTTTACATCTTGTTATCAACGAAACACAGGAATTTCATAAAAGAGAAAAACAATTGATGTGAGGTGATGAAGCAATAAAGATCACAAAAGGCAGCACTCGAAAAGAACAAGAAAAAACACGGTATTAATCGTTAGCGACAGCCATCTTTCTATATACACTGGAGACAATTTCCAGTACAGGATACCATGTCCGCAGCGAGGTAAGCTGAAACTGTATCTTTATGAATGTACAACATCAGACGTAATGCCGAAGAGATGAACAAATAGGAAGCACAGTAATAATCATAAATGTAAGCTCAACCCTTGCTCGATTTCACCGACTTTTTCAAGTTTCCTTTAAACAAAACACGTGCAACCGTCACGCAGCACAATATCACTAAATGGTTTAAGGACGATGTCAAAATTGGAATTATATTGAGAAGGGAACAGACACAACTCAAACGAGCGGCAGCTTCTCTCTTCTGCCACACGGGTCCAGCCTGTGCTTTCAGGCACTCACAGAAAAATCAATAAATGGTGTGCAATTTGAACCTCTTTAAAAGTCCAATGGAACAGACTCATTTCAATTTAAACATAAATGTAATATTACTAATATGAAACTATTAGAAGATGCATTATAAGAACAAATCATGTGTAGTAACACGAAAAAAGAATGTTATAAACTGAAGGAACATGTAGTTGATATCAATATCCATACCCTACCATATGAACTATAAAACATGATTTAAAGGGCTAAATTTCAGGAAAGATAATGAAGTCAACCATTTCGACATGCACTGAAACAATAGCGGGATTATCCACGAGAAATCAGCATCCCGTGATTAAAAATGGTGCTCAACTTAATTTTGAATGATAGGTTAAAACCAAAGCTAACTATAACACAAACAGAAGTTGCATCATTTTTTTTGGGACCGAACCAGTTTTACTGAGATAAGGGGCGAAAATTTCTGCATAGTAGTAAAGCACCAAAAAAATTACTTTTACTCTCATAAATGGTGCATAGTGAAATATACATCATACTCGTGCAGGCTAGCATTGTTCAATGTCATATATAAAGAAAAAATTATATCATCCAAGGAGTACGCTCAGAAATGGCAGAAGACATTGAGATTAAAGACCATGAGGAAGGTGTACAAATTCAACATCCAAGTTGGTGAACAATAATTTAACAGAAGAAGAGAAGAAGGCATCCATTACTGATTCAGTGCCTCATCAACGAGTCTTCTTCTTGCCAGCAACAGTGACCTTTTTGCCCTTCAGAGTCCTGCAGTTGTTCTTTGTGCGCTGACCACGACATGGTAGACCCATTTCATGCCTAATCCCCCGATAGCATCGTATCTCCTTCAATCTCTCAATAGCCAGCCGATTGAAACGTTTCTATTTCCAAAAATACAGAACCAAAAGAGGATCGTAAAAAACATGGGAATTTTGAATCTTTGAATTGCAGAAAAGTTGATGAATAAAATAATAGGGAAGAGAAAGAAATATGCAATTGGTCAGTTTCAATCTCTTCCACTGGGAAATAACTTAAAACTTGACTCAAAAAGTTACAGGGTTAAATTTAACACCGACCTTTCCCTCACTTTCTCTATCTAAAAACTAAATAAGGGAGACAAATTTCTGACTTTTATTTTCTCTATAATGAATTTCCAAATAAACCAAACATGATGTGGATTGGAGCAAAATTTCAACAATTTTGAAGATAATTACAGGCTTTGTCCTCCTGTCCTGAGCCTGTTCGCTTGCTTCTATAACTGAATTAGGTAAAGAATCTTAAACACTAGACATCATTTTACTCCAGAGTATAAATAAGAACAAAAAACAAAAGCTCCACGCTACATTTTGTTAAGTTTAACTCAACTTGATGGAGATTAAAAGGAAAGAAGAAAGTTCAAGGCCTTCATTTTGAGATGTTTATACTTATAGGTCACCAAGCAAAGGGAGCTATTTCTGACTCACTTCATGAAATTTTGAGCATCATCGAACAAAAGCGTCGCTCAAAATATACCCTAGCAAAATTTTCCCCCTCGTGGCCACATATCAAGAAGCTATTTTTTTCAATTTCCTTCCCTGATATCAAGGTGGATTTGGTTCCTATCTACTCCATAGCTTCAAAGAGATGATAATGCAATTCCTTACAAAATCAAATACTCATACATTTTGAGATCAAACATTCCTCTCGTTAATCCTGTATCGTCTAAACCAAACATATTCAGACTACTAGTCACGGATTTAGCAGTGAAATCGTGTGCAAAATCAAATCTTTTATGGAAACAAGAAAAACCAAAAGGGGGATGAAAGCATTACAAGGTCACCTTCAATCATGCATCCAAACAAAATTTCTTTTCGTGTTTCTAGTGAACACCTAGCAGAAAAGCCATCTCATTTCCCCCTTTCTTATCATTTACTCTATGATTTCACGTAGAGAATTTCTATGGTCCGCTACACCAAAACTCTGAAGCTACGGTGAGGATGGAGGTTATACCGCAGGTTATGGGCCATTTCGATCGGCTGAAACCCGGACTCACATAGTGATAACTTTCATTCCGAACCCTCTTTAAATTTGTAGCTGATTGGGTTGAACCTGGACTGCCATTATACTCTGTCCACTACGTCATAATTAGCCCCATATCATCTAACCCTAACAAATTCAACCTTCCAATGAAGGATTCAACCTTCCAACCATGCACAAAATCAAATCTCTAACGATAAAAAAAACAAGACCAAGAGGGGATAAAATCCTTACAAGGTCTCCTTCAACCATATACTTTGAAACTTCATCTCTAAGACTAATGAGCTCCTCCTCGCTCAACTCCTTAGTCACCTTGTTATCCAAATTGAGATCACACAGAATCTGACGAGACCTCGAGCGCCCAATCCCGTGAATGTACTGAAGCGAGAACTCGACCCTCTTGTTGTTGGGTATCTCAACTCCACCAACACGAACGCACCTGATGCTCAGACCTCCACACTGCAAGAAAAACAAAAACGTTTGGAGAAAAACTGGTGTCAAAAGAAATTTGGGTTTATGGGTATTTTTTATTTTTATTTTATTTTTATTTACCTTTTGGGTGGGCGAGGAATTGGGGAAGGAGAGAGAGAATGAAGGGTTTGCGCCACTAGAGGAGACGATCGAGAGAGAGGAGGCGAGGGGGAGTGACGATAAGGAGACCGCTGCCATTTTTTCTTTTGGGTGCGGATTTGCTTCCCTGGGGTTTGAGAGCGAGGAGCGGATGAAGGGATAAGACACGTAAGATTGTAATTATAAAATTGGGTGTTTTCTCTCGCGTATGAAGTTTCAAAAATTTTAAACCTGTCCTCTAAACTTTTTGTATTTATCGAATTGACGCTTTATGTGATGGATGCTAATTGCTAACTTATGTATAGATATTTCCTAGCTAAAAATAAACTTGGAAGATAAATTTGTGCGAAAATGATTAATTTTAAAAAATAATGTAATAAATCATTTGTCCTCTTTTTCACCATTTTTTGCCCTTTTCTTTACTTTTTCCCATTAGAAAAAGACGCGAAAAAGCCAAAACTCCTAAATAAAATTCAAAAAATTGAAGGGTGTAGGTTAAATTTATTTTTACATAAATGTGGTCAAAATAACGATGAAGGTGAAGTTAAAAAAAAGAGGAGGGCAGAGATTAAACTAAATTTATTTGCTTCACCTAATCAATTTACAAATAAAAGTAAATTCTACAAAATGGTCAAGTATAATTTTAAATAGACAATGTTTTGATTGGTAGCCAGTACTGCAATAACAATTCAAACTTATCTAATTAACATGCTATTTTATCTTGATATATTCCTATATCGTTATCAAATTTATTTATAATTTATGCCCTTATTATTTTCTTTTCACTTTCCATGTTCATCCTCTCATCACTATGGCCTCTTCCTCATATCCTCTCCCTCCTCCTCTCTCTTCCTTCAAAACACATAGAAATCACCACGTCATCACTTCTCAATGGCCATCAACTTCTGCTCTCTTACCTTTGCCCATAAAACCCAAGAGTCCCATTGAGCTCTCAAACCCATCAACTGTCCCCAAATGGAGAAGAAAAGTTTCATTTCTTTCCTCATTCCTCAAAAACAAAGAGAAAAGCAAAAAGGAAATAAAGGAGGAGCTCTTTGAGGCTATTGCCCCTCTTGATCGTGGAGCTGAGGCTGCACCAGAGGACCAAGAAAAGATTGAGCAGGTATCTGTTTTCATTTTGCATAATTTTATAAGAATTAAAGTATTACTGACCATGCTTATGAGTATTGAGAAGAATATCCTTCCTGAAATTTAGGCACAGTTTTAAAGTCCAACCATTTTTGGGCACATACTCATGAGTTAAAGTATTGAGCACCTCTTTTATGGGCCAAAACTTGGGCCTCACTCAGGGTCGGTTTTTAGAAAATCCGCTTTAAATTTGTGGTCGATAAGATTTGAACGTGTGTTGTTTTGGTACCAAAGTTCCTAAACGTTACACTAAAAACTTTGAAGTTGTTATCTCAAAAAAAAAAAAAAGAAAAAAAAAAGAAACAACCTCAGAAGTTGTAGTTGTGCTGAGGGTTGAGAATTATATGTTTATATTCTAACACACATCAATCCATTACTATTTTATTCATCCTCCTTCCACATCTGAGCCAGACTAAAATATGTTAGTCTATTGTTGTGAGAAAAAAGTATGTCATCGCATTAGTTCCAGGGCATCAAATCTCTTGTTTCTGTGCTTGATAAGCATTTCATGGTAGCTCTCATATATATATGTGTGAGGGTACGTGTGTGCGCCTGTGTATGCATGTTTCCTATGCATCTAAATTTTCATGGCTTCCCAAAAATTAAAATTCAACTGTTATGGCCTATTTTGATGGACAGATTGCATGCAAACTGGAAGCACTCAATTCAATAAAGGAGCCTCTGAAGTCAGATTTACTCAACGGTAAATGGGAGCTTCTATACACAACTTCAACATTGATTTTGCAAAACCAGGTTTTCCTTTTGCTTATGCACCATGTATATGAATCTAGTGAACGTACTGTGCCAAGAACAAACTTCTGTCTTTGGCAGCTTTGTATCAGCTCATATATTGTTGCCCTGTTGCTTCTTTCTATCAGATACATCTGCACATATCGTCATATTCACAAGTTCTTCCAATAATTAGTTTCTTAAACTTGTAGGAAATAAAGATTTATAAAAGTTCCTTTTTTTTCTTGTTGGAGTAACGCTTCAGGCATAATTATTATGATTCCTCTTATCCTAATAATTTATTGGTTCCTTTGTAACGTTCATGTCACTTTAGCTGAGAAGATCATATATTATAGATTTCCAATTTATGTAATGTGTTCCTGGAACTACAAAATCTTGTTACTGTTCATTCTGTAGCTACATGTCATCAAGTCTCAAGACTAAGGCTAACCTGGTGCATCACAGTACTATCTTAACCTTATCTTTGCATACATCTATCCTTTTATGTTACTTAAATTTAACTAGTAAATCTTTCACTGGTGTTACTTTCGATAAACTCGTTTATTTTTCACTCAATAGGTCACCTAAAAGTACTACAATATGCAACGTTTCCCATTAGAAGGAATGTGTTACCTCAAGTGCATATTACCTTCATTTGAGTAGGGAAAATGCTGATCTGGTCCTTTCCTTTTCTCCATGTCTCAAAATTTTGGATCCTATACTTCTCTTTATTGAGATTGTTTACTCAAATTACATTCTTTTTGACTGTTTCAGAGGCCAAAACTTTTGCGACCTAATGGAAAGATCTACCAGGCCATCAATGCAGATACTCTAAGAGCCCAAAATATGGAAACTTGGCCTTTCTTTAACCAGGTTATTCTTTTACTGCAACTTACACATTTGAAGACTCAATATGTCCTCTATTACTTGTCAATTTGGGCTTCTCATTTTCTCAGACTGGGAAAGTTGTTGTTCTGTCTTCGACAATTAGTTTCATTGCTCTTTGTAGAGAAAAAGAAACATCAGCACAACAGGAACAGCCAGTTAACAGCCTGCAGCCTCTTAATAAATAGAATCCAGAAATTCTATCTGTTGACAGGCCCTCTAATAACTTTCTATTTCAAATAATAGATAGATGAGATGATCTCTTTGGACGTATAAGTAGAGGGTTGTAATGTGAGTTTGACAACAAAATATAGATTAATAATATTTGAGCCTTCTTCTTCCTCCTCTCTTCTAAATCTGAAACTCTTCACTCTTGAAACCTAGCTAGACATAATCATGAACCAGCATCTACTGTTTCTTTCGATCAGTTTCAATATCTTAGAATAATGATACAAGGCATCTGGAAAAGGTTAGGTGTTTGTTCCCATTTCGTCCAACTCTACGTGGACATTCTATCAAGTGTCCACAAACTACACTTTAGGCCACTTATTTATTAACTAGTATCGTGTACGTGCATTGCACGTAGGCACATTTGTTGATTAATTTTTTGGAATTCTTTTGGTTCTATTAGGTTAGAAAGTGAATAGTTATTAAGATATTATAGTAATTAATAAAGAATTAATATTTATTCAATAAAATGAGACTTAATGCATAAAGATTAAATGAGTATATTTGTAGGAGGTCATGAATAAGTTATTTTTATCGAAAACAATAACTCTCTGCATAGAAAATTAGCTTACATGTGTTTCTATTATAAAATATAAACTACTTGTAAAGCAAGAAGCTCAAATACATTTACATGAGAGAGAGATGTTATTTTAAAATTATCTTTCTAGAAATTATTAAACCTCCTCTAGTTTATTATTAGCTCTTAGAGTCCCCCCAATTTATATTTGATACTTGCAATTTATATCTCTAAAATTGCATTTTAAGGGTATTAAGTGCTAGTATATCGAGGATGATTTATGGCAACTCAAGATATAGAAGAGGGAATTATGTATAATTTTTCCTATTTGTTATAATAATGCAATTTACAGATGGTTAATGGAGAAATGGGTAACCCTTCATGAATGATTGTAGTAGTACTCCATTCTATAAGCACCCTCAAGACCAACTCACTATATCATTTTCTAAATTGATCTTCATGCACTTTCTATTTGCCCTTTATAACCCAATAATATTAATGTATTACCTTAGTGACCATAGAACGAAAATTAACCCTTTACACATATAGAGTGAAAGCAATTACACTTATAATGCATTGTCATGGACAAATCTTTCTTTATCCCGAGAATAAGCATAATGCATTAAGAGATTCAACCAAACTACACAAACAATTTAGCATATTTACAAACATGCCTAGGAGTTGGAAAGCAATTTACATGCTAAGGTAAAAACATATACGAAGATGGAAGGGGGGAAAACCAATTAGTTTATGACTGAAATAGCTGCAGATTTTGATAAAATACAGGACCGCCTTCTTTGTCGCCTTCACCGGTTTTTTCTCTGCTCTCTAAATTGTACATCGATGCTTCCATTACCATCTCCTCATTCAATTCGATTGTACTCCACCAGTAATGTTACCATTAAAACACTCACACTTCTTGCCTTTTGTAACAATTTAGAGCTATGAATCTCGCTTTATATCTCACCACCTTACAATTCTTATTTATTTTTCTTACGAAGACCCATTTATATCCTGCAGGGATATATGGACTACAGTTTCAAAATACTTTGGCGAGTTCAGCTCTGCCTCAATTGCCCCTTTCCCATTAATAACGTTTTTCATTATTAGTGTGTAATGTCAAGACTTAGTGGGGGAATGTTATTAGTGGGTGGTTAAATAAAAATTTGATGCTAATAAATGGGAAGGTTATGAAAAATTAAGTATTTATATATCTTAATGTATGCATGTATGGATGTGCTAGAGATGTATGCATGCATGTGTTTCGAATGGTATTTTTGGAAGAAATGTTTTAACATGGCAACACACTTTTATAATAGTATTAGATAATGCCTAACATAGTTTTATTATATATCTAATTTCTTATCATCTTATATCTGAAAGTTCCCTTCAAATGCAAAGGTTTCATATGCAGGCAGTGGCTGATTTGATACCACTCAATTCAAAAAGAGTAGCCGTCAAATTTAATACATTCAAAATTGCAGGTTTGGTATGTGTTTCCTTCTCAAATACATCCTTTATTGGAGAACTTTCTATTTGTATCACTTTTGGTTATATTATCATAATAATAGTTGTGGTTCTCATGTGTATAGTTGGCAATTTCTTTTATTTACGTTAAGTCTGTTTGACATGGTGCACGGCAGACAAATTTCATCAAAAATTCCATACAATTATATCAGTTCGGCACTTATGACTAGGTTTTACCTAATATTGTAATCATCGTCACTATAGACTACAGAGGCTAAACTTTTGAGTAAAGTGGGATTTTGACATGGGGTATTAGAGCACTAGGTTTCAAAAGCTGTGGTTTGGACCTCATCATTACAATGTAAACAGGTAGTTTCTATCTGTTTCAATTTAAATTTCAATTGCCTAATAACAAATCTAGGATCATCTATAATCTGAATAAAATGTGATATACTTCATAAAATGTGATATAATTCGCTTTTTTTCTTTCACGTGTTCTCTAATTAGGACCTCATCATTTCGTTTCAAGCATGAATATTGTTGCTAATTTAATAAAATGACCAAAGTTTCCACTTGTTCATGCACGCAATGCTGCATATTTACTTTTTTTTTTGTCTATTGATAACGCTTGAAGGGAAATTCTTCTTAAGCTAATCAAATTGAATTTTTATTGAGTCGGACAAGCAAGATGCTAACTTCAGAGCCAATTAAACGACGCTAATTAATTCTTAAATATATGTCTTCCTAAATTCATCTGCCTATTCAGCAATTTTTTTTTGTTAAATGATTACTCGCTCCCAAACTCTTAATTTTTCCACCATTACCATCTGAGATTGGGTTAAGACATCGGTTTAGAAGAACTAAGATGGTGGCAGCCCAAGTAAAGGTTTCTCAATATTTTTTCTGGGTGCACCAATTTGTTTGTTCTATTGTCTTGCAAAAATTATTGAAATCATGGTTATACAGCCACATTATTGTGGCAAGGTTGGCCTTCAAGCAGCCAATCAAATTCAATTTGGATCATATTTTACACATAAATTATATAGATATTTTTAGTTAGTTTTAAGATGTTTATGTTGGATATAATCTAATAAATCTATTTGTGGGCACATATGATTAAATAAATGTGTATTGCTATCTTTCAGGATAACCCACTAAAGTGATCAATTAAGTTGGGTTAATGGGTATTTAAATATAATCATGGGGTTATATGTGCAGATACCAGGTTGTAATTTTGATTTATTGAGGGGCTAAATTACAAAAGTACAACATCTATAAATAAGGGGTTATGGTCCCTAACCTAGGGTTACATTCTCTAATTCTCTACACCCCCATCTAGCTAGAGAAATTCGGATTTAGAGAAACCCTAAGGTTAGAAGATCATCAAAAACCCAAATCAAGATTTCTTCTATGGATTCAGGTATAAGCTTCCGCTCTTTTAGATTCTTGTTAATCTCTTCGAATTAATCATGGCTATATGGTTTTAGATCTCTAATTTGGTTTAGATCTAACAAGTGGTATCAGAGCCACCTTGATTAATTCTTAGGGATTTAAGTTTTATTGGGTTTTTTGATCTTAAATCTCTAGTTAAAGATTCAGTTTTGGTTTTTCGGATGAACAATAAATTTTTTGTTCGGATGAACAGTAACGAAAAGTTTTTCGGATGATTAGTAACTGAAAAATCGTCGGTGAACAGTAACTTTTTAGAATTTTTTGGATTTTTCTTCGATTTTTCTTGGTCTGGGTTTGATTTTGAAAAATAAAATCGAGGAATTTTTTTTTGGTTTGTCGGCGGCGGTTTCGGTTTGAAACCCTAAGGGTTCGTGCGTGAAACATGCCGAATATTAAGGAGGAGGTTACCTCAAATTTTGGCGAAGCTGAAAGCTTAAAACGAACCTCGCGTTCGTTCAATTTTAACAAACCTCGCGTTCGTTCTAAGGTGAACCTCGCGTTCAACTCAGGTGAGCATCAAGCTCAATTTTAACGAACCTCGCGTTCGTTCTAAGGTGAACCTCACGTTCAACTCAGGTGAGCGTCATGCTCAATTCAGTCGAACCTCGCGTTCGTGCTTCAGTCGAACCTCGCGTTCGTGCTTCAGTTGAACCTCGCGTTCATTTTTTTAACGAACCTCACGTTCGTTCTCAGACGAACCTCGCGTTTGTGCTTAAGTGAGTCTCGTACTCAATACAGTCGAACCTCGCGTTCGAAGTTAAGCGAACTTCGTGTTCACTATGGTTAAGCCTCAGCTTTTCATGGGTCCACTTTGGTATACTTAATTTATTCAATTAAGTTATGGACCCTAATTAAGCTGTAAGACCCCAATTAAGTTTTGAACCTTTTAATTTAAATCTAATTTGGTTTTTAATCAATTATTTAATTCAAATATTATGACACTAAGGAATTAAGGTTGTCTCTCACTCCAATTGATTAATTGAAACAAGAAGTTGCCAAAGTAACCTCTCTTGTGTAGATTGTTCATGAGGAATGTGAGATGTTTGTGTGTATGCTTTCGTGTAAATATTTAATCGGCCCAAAGGAAGGTTAATATTTATTTAGACTGTATACACATCTGCGATGATAAGCGTGTGACAATTATAAGGTTTACATGTGAATAATGAATCGATCCAAAGATAGTTTCATTATTTGACATGAGTTATTGTCAATGTTTGATCATTGCAACAAGGTATCACTTACAAGTTAATATTACTGTCTAAAGACTTGATATTAATGTTGTGCCCGATATCTTGGATGGGGATTGTCATTATTTGAATTTTATTAATTATGGTTTCAGGGGCATAGAATCCGAAGGGATTACTAAGGCTAAAGATTTCCTTGCCGAAATTGAGAAGCGTTTTGCGAAAAACGATAAGGTAGAAACAAGCACGCTTTTAGCTCGCTTGATTTCAATGAAGTATAAGGGCAAAGGAAATATCAGGGAGTACATTATGGAAATGTCTCATATTGCTTCAAAGCTTAAGGCACTTAAACTCGATCTTTGTGACGAGTTATTAGTGCATCTGGTTTTGTTGTCTCTTCCTGCACAGTTTAACCAATTTAAGGTCAGTTATAACTGTCAAAAGGAGAAATGGACTCTAAATGAGCTCATTTCATACTGTGTGCAAGAAGAAGACAGGTTGAAGCAAGATAAGACAGAAAGTGCTCATTTGGCCTATGCCTCTAAGGATAAGGGCAAGAAAAGGAAGAATGATAAGGAAGCTGCTAAGGGTCCAGTTGAGAAGAAACAACATAAGGATAATCAGGGTTGTTTCTTCTGTAAGAAGCCTGGACATGTAAAGAAGGACTGTACAAAATATCACGCCTGGCGTGATAATAAGGGTACGTTCCTTGCTTTGGTCTGTTCTGAGGTTAATTTAGCTTCAGTACCTAGAAACACTTGGTGGTTAGACTCTGGTGCTACTACTCACATAAGTGTTTCTATGCAGGGTTGCCTGAGCTACCGAAAGCCAAGTGATGTTGAAAGACACATCTTTGTGGGCGACGGACAATCGGTAGATGTGGAAGCAATTGGGCACTTTAGGTTGTTGTTAGGAACTGGTTATTATTTGGATTTAAAAGATACTTTTGTAGTACCGTCTTTTAGACGGAATTTGGTTTCTGTTTCTGTATTGGACAAATCAGGTTATTCTTGTTCATTTGGAAACAGTCAATTCAGTTTATCTTTTAATTCAAATGTTGTGGGAACCGGTTACTTGAGTATTTATGACAACCTATATTTGCTTGATACAATTGCTTCTTACAATGAATCCTTGCATGTGGAATCACGTGGTACTAAGCGTAAATTAAATAAGGAAAATTCGGCGACATTATGGCATAAGCGCTTAGGTCATATCTCAAAAGGTAGAGTTGAGCGTCTTGTGTCTGATGGCATTTTGGATTCCCTTGATTTTTCGGACTTCGACGTATGTGTTGAATGTATCAAGGGAAAACAGACCAAAGTGAAGAGATTAGGTGCCAACAGATCTTCGGATGTCTTAGAATTGATACATACGGATATTTGTGGGCCATTCCCTACGGAATCCTGGAATGGTCAACAATATTTTATATCATTCATAGACGATTACTCACGTTATGGGCACCTATATCTTATTCATGAAAAATCTGAGTCTCTGGACATGTTCAAAGCCTATAAAGCTGAAGTTGAGAATCAACTCAACAGAAGAATTAAAACCGTCAGATCTGATCGTGGTGGTGAGTACTACGGTAGATATGATGGTTCAGGTGAACAACGTCCAGGACCATTTGCTAGATACCTAGAGGAATGCGGTATCGTCCCACAGTACACCATGCCGGGTTCACCTAGCATGAATGGTGTAGCTGAAAGACGAAATAGGACTCTTAAGGATATGGTAAGAAGTATGATTGCTCATTCTTCTTTACCAGAGTCACTCTGGGGAGAAGCACTTAAGACAGCAGCTTACATTCTGAATAGAGTACCAAGTAAAGCAGTTGCTAAAACACCTTATGAGCTTTGGACTGGTCGAAAGCCCAGTTTAAAGCATTTACATATTTGGGGATGTCCAGCTGAGGCAAGGCCTTATAGGCCAAATGAAAAGAAATTGGACTCCAAAACAGTTAGCAGCTACTTTATTGGGTACCCTGATCGCTCTAGGGGCTATAAGTTTTATGATCCCACTATAAGGAATATTTTTGAGACGGGAACAGCAACATTCTTTGAGGATGTTGAGTTTGGGGGGAGAAATAAGGTTAGAGACATTAGTTTTGAGGAGGAATTGGCTTCAGATCCAATCCATACAGTTACTTTTGACAATATTCAGGTTTCTATACCTGTTGTTGCTCAAGAAGTAAATCCGGAACCTCAAGATGATAATGTTGAACAACTCCCTGTTCCAGAAGAACAAACTCAACAACCTCAAGAACCAGTGCCATTAAGGAGATCCACGAGAGAAAGGAGAAATGCTATTTCGGATGATTACATTGTATTTCTTCAAGAACATGAGGAAAGTAGTAGAATGTTAGAAGATGATCCAATCAACTTCTCTCAGGTCATAAAAAGTTCTAACTCTCAACAGTGGATTGATGCCATGAATGAAGAGTACAAGTCTATGCAAGACAATAAGGTTTGGAAACTTGTCCCATTACCAGAAGGTGCAAAACCAATTGGTTGTAAATGGATTTTTAAAACCAAACGGGATGCAAACGGTAATGTGGAGAGGTATAAGGCACGTCTTGTGGCTAAAGGCTATACTCAAAAGGAAGGCATTGATTATACAGAGACTTTCTCTCCGGTTTCATCGAAAGACTCTTTCAGAATAATCATGGCACTTGTTGCTCATTATGATCTTGAGTTACATCAGATGGATGTTAAGACTGCATTTCTCAATGGAGACATTGATGAGATGATCTATATGGTGCAACCAGAAAACTTTGTGTCGGGAGACCCAAAGAATATGGTCTGCAAATTAAGGAAATCCATCTATGGACTCAAGCAAGCTCCTCGTCAATGGTATCATAAGTTTCAACAAATAATTATCTCGTTCAGTTTTGAGATGAACATTGTTGATGACTGTGTATATCACAAGTTCAGTGGGAGTAAGTATATTTTTCTGGTTCTGTATGTCGATGACATCTTGCTTGCCACTAATGATATAGGCATGTTGTACGAAACCAAGAGATTTCTATCAAAGAATTTTGAGATGAAAGATCTTGGGGACGGCTCTTTTATATTAGGGATCTAGATACATCGAGATCGCTCTCGGGGTATTCTTGGATTATCACAAAAGAGTTATATCGATAAGGTACTTAAAAGGTTTGGCATGCAAGATTGCAGACCAGGTGACACCCCTGTTGCTAAAGGAGACAAGTTTAGTCTCAATCAGTGCCCTAAAGGTAACCTTGAAATTCAGGAAATGCAGAAGATTCCTTATGCTTTGGCTGTAGGAAGTCTAATGTATGCTCAGGTATGTACGCGTCCGGATATTGCGTACATTGTTGGGATGTTAGGCAGATACTTAAGCAACCCTGGTATGGATCATTGGATAGCAGTCAAAAGGGTTATGAGGTATCTTCAGAAAACAAAAGATTACATGCTCACATACAGAAAATCAGAGAAATTAGAGGTCATTGGGTATTCGGACTCTGATTTTGCTGGATGCCAAGATAGCAGGAAGTCTACATCAGGCTACATTTATATGTTAGCAGGAGGAGCTATATCATGGAAAAGTGTCAAACAAACACTAGTAGCTTCCTCCACTATGGCAGCAGAATTTGTAGCTTGCTATGAGGCATCCAATCAGGGAATATGGCTGCGAAATTTTGTCACGGGACTGCGCATTTTGGAAAATGTTGAAAGACCACTAAGGCTATATTGTGACAATAAATCTGCAGTAATGTATTCCAATAACAACAGGAGCTCAACTAAGTCAAAACATATTGACATTAAGTTCCTGGTTGTGAAAGAAAGGGTACAGAGTGGACAGATATCCATAGAGCACATTGGGACAAACTCCATGATAGCTGATCCTCTTACTAAGGGATTGCCACCTAAGGTCTTTCATGAGCATACTGCTCATATGGGTGTGGTATTATTTGAGGATATTATGTTTTAGTGGGAGTTTGTATTTGTGGTGCTTTATGTTTGGTTGTATTGTCTGATCAGAATAAAGTATTCAGTTAAGACACTCAGTTACATTATGTTTGGTTTTGACCCCACTAAGGAGGACCAGTTGAAAATAGTCATGTACTGATCACATTGCATGTAATTTTCATGCTGCACATCCATGATTGATCTATGTCATTTGATTGTATTGGTATATGTGACCATTAATGGGTCGAGTCACGATAAATGTGACGAATGCTGCTTTGATCCTATATTGATATAGTCAATGGACGAGATTGTTCGGAAATACCTTTTCAGTGATAGCAATTTTTGAGCTCATAAGGTTATACACAATTTAAGGAATCATATGGTGCCCAAGTGGGAGATTGTTGGATATAATCTAATAAATCTATTTGTGGACACATATGATTAAATAAATGTGTATTGTTATCTTTCAGGATAACCCACTAAAGTGATCAATTAAGTTGGGTTAATGGGTATTTAAATATAATCATGGGGTTATATGTGCAGATACCAGGTTGTATTTGTGATTTATTGATGGGCTAAATTACAAAAGTACAACATCTATAAATAAGGGGTTATGGTCCCTAACCTAGGGTTACATTCTCTAATTCTCTACACCCCCATCTAACTAGAGAAATTCGGATTTAGAGAAACCCTAATGTTAGAAGATCATCAAAAACCCAAATCAAGATTTCTTCTATGGATTCAGGTATAAGCTTCCGCTCTTTTAAATTCTTGTTAATCTCTTCGAATTAATCATGGCTATATGGTTTTAGATCTCTAATTTGGTTTAGATCTAACAGTTTAAATTCCTTTGTTGTAATTTCCAAGATTGGTTTGGCCTTATATTTCCTCTTTTAAGTGTAACTTGTTTTCTTTAAGATACAAGAGACTTTCAACATCCATTTCAGTTACCATGTAGCCAGCTGCTTGAAAATATTTGCAATATTATCGCACGTCATTTCTAATTTGCATCTGATCATCTTACTTATAGATCAAGGCGCGCGGTTATTATATGTGACACGGTTCAATGTTGCCAACAGTATGACTTCTATATTTACCTACTAATTCTATTTTGGATGATTATGCCCATCTTATATTGATTTTACGTGTACACATCTTATATTACTTTTACGTGTACACATCTTATATTACTTTTACGTGTATATCTTTTCTATGCAAAAAAAAAAAATGTGACCTCATTTTCTCTTTTATAGATACCTATAAAAGCACCTGAGAGACCAGTCGAAGCTCTTGGTCAATTGGAAATCACTTACCTAGATGAAGAGATTCGGTAAGTCAAACTGAATTTCCCAAATGTTTGCTCCCATGTGAATTGTTATTCCTGTTTCTATTCGGTAATATACTTTTAGTTATTGATCTATTCCTTTGAGCGAACATTATTCCAAGCCCATCATACCTCCAAAAGACACCCAGTAAGAGAAGCAAATGTCGCTGAATGATTATTTGCTTGCCACGATTATGTATTGCAATTGAATTTCTAATAAGGAAAAGAGCTTTCTAGCAGGGAATAATATTTATTTCCTAGTTACCTAGAGTGATTCACGTCTAACTTCACTATAGTAATAGCCTAAATATATTTTGAATGTCAAATGTTGGTAATGAATCTCAAGGTATAAATAGTAGTAAATACTTGCGCTATTACCTCAGAAAAGATGTACATTAGAGCTTGATTCTTTGTTGAAGTAGTGAAATAATGTTTCTAGCTATAACATTTCTCTACTCGATCTTTTTAGAGCTTGATTCTTTGTTGAAGTAGTGAAATAATGTTTCTAGCTATAACATTTCTCTACTCGATCTTTTGCAGCGTTTCGAGGGGCAACAGGTCTAGCTATAACATTTCTCTACTCGATCTTTTGCAGCGTTTCGAGGGGCAACAGGGGAAACTTGTTCATCCTGAAAATGGTGGATCCTTCTTACAGAGTCCCAGTTTAAGGGAAATATCATCCTATTATGTACTTTTGATTCTATAAGATATTTATACCATTTCTGATAATACAATTAATGTGAACAGGGCGTTCGGATGTACCGAGCAGCTGTTGCTTCATTGTTTGTCATATCAAGCATTGGCAAATTTTTTTTTTTTTTGGGTTTCCTGCAAAGCTAAACATTGATCAGTGTCATGCAGTCTATTATATGGAAATTAATATTAGAACCAAAATAGTCATATCTGAACTTGAAGTTCCCTCTCATTAAGCAAGGGATTGGTCTTAACAAATGGTGAAGGTAATATATTCGTGTTTAACATGAATATTGCTATTTAAAAGGTATCAATATTCCTTGGACTAAAAGATAGAAGAAAAATGCCTCAGGGACCCCAAAAAAATGGGACCCTGAGGGGACAGGTGAGGTGTCACCCCCTGGCGGGGTGGGCTGACACCTCACCTGTCTCACATGAGTCCCATTTTTTAGGGTCCCTGTAGAACAGCCCAAGATAGAATGGTGCGCGTATGTCATCCATTCTACTAAATACTATGCGATAAGCCCAAAAAACCTTGTATATGTAACAATATTTTCCCAGACATTTTCTAAATTAATCAAGTTAAAAATATGAAGAAGAAATTTGCAAAATAGACTTATTTTGTTAAATATTTAGCAAAATATACCTCTTTTTGGCCAACAGGACAAAAAGATGTCGATTTTGCAAAATAGACCATTCGAAACATACGGGACTAGTAGTCCCGTATGATTTATAATTTATAAATCATACGGGACTACTAGTCCCGTATGTTTCGAATGGTCTGTTTTGTAAAATCGACCAAAAGATGTCTATTTTGCTAAATATTTAGCAAAACGGTCTGTTTTGCTAAATATTTAGCAAAATAAGTCTATTTTGCAAATTTTTCCAAATATGAATTATGTCAATACGAACGATACAAAATTGCAATCTCATAGAATAAAATTCTCCACGACGAGGATTAGGCATTTGCACGCTACTTCTTCTGGGCTACTGGGCCAAGCATTCGGAAAGCCTACAAACCTCCAAGCAGACTGCAGCGGCAAAAGATCACTATATTTTTTTTTCCTCCTCTCTCCAGAAGGAAAATTTCTGGCGGCATCGAAATCGTTCGAAGTTCTGATGGAGGATTTGCAGAGCGCTCTCTCGTCTCGTGGCCTGGCGGTCTCCTCGATCCCCGGCAAAGGCCGCGGTCTCGTCACCACCAAAGACTTTACCCCCGGTTAGTTGTTATTCTCAGTAATGATGATCAAGTAGAAATAGTACTGAAAAACCCCCGGGAAATCTGTTGAAAGCCGGTGACTTGACCCATAGTTGTAGTGAGTAATCAAGTTCAAAGTTGGGATATATGATGTTGATGACGATGCTTAAAAAAAAAACCTACTGAAATTGAAGAAAAAAGGGGGAAAAAAGAGTGGAACTTTACGTTTTGCACTGTAGATCTCCCTGTGAGACAAAATCATGTAGAATTTTTTTTTTAAATTGAGAAGTTTTTACGTCTTTAATTGCTGGTTTAGTGCTGTAGATTAATTGACGGTTGTGGAAAAGGCATGCAACTGTGGAGTGTTGAAAAATACTTCTTCATTGTCTCTTGAAGCTTTGGCAATTTTAAATCTCATTGCGTAAAAGATCTTTTTATTTTGAGATCTCACTGTTAAGGACTATACTGCACATAGGGAGTCAATTTATTAACATTACCTTCAACATAATTTGGAGGTATATGGCTTTATTATAACGCATGAATGTGATACTATGCAATTTGTTGAATCATCCTCAAAATATTTATTGTTGGTGTAATATGTATCTTGTAGGGGATGTTATTATCTGTCAAGAGCCCTATGCATCTTGTCCAAACAGGTCTTCTGGCGGTTCAATCTGTGATGGATGTTTTGTTTCAAATAACATAAGGAAATGCTCAGCGTGTCGGGTTGCCTGGTATTGCGGGAATAAGTGCCAGGTATTAAAAAAAAAGTTTATAACAAAAATTATTACAAGGTTTTTTTATTTTCATTTTTTTAAAATCTGTTGATACTTTTTGTCACAAAGATAATCATTTATGGGTCTGAGTTATTGTGCTTGGCCTTAGTCTTTGACTTTTTGTGACTCTATTGTCCTTTTGTTACAATGTCAATCCATTTTTTCAAGAAAAATCAAGATCATGGCTGCGAACCCAGATTGTCCTTAATGACACTACTATATGTCACTTGGTGAATGGATAAGGCTACCCACCTTGGGTTGGAGAGTGTGAAATGCAGACTAGCACGTTTTAGACAGAAAAGCATTATCGGGCAGAAGTATATACAACTCAGATAAGAAAGATGGATGATCTTACATCATCAGGTACCTAATTTTTTAACCAATCAATAGGAAGAGTATGTGTTCTCTCCATGCTAGCAGTGGAGAAATGAACCATATGGTCCATCACTAAACCTTGTCTCAAATATTCTACTGGAATCGACTCATATAGTTTTGATGTGTATGCCATGTTTACCAATAGTTTGCTGTGTAAGACTGATGGATGACTAGAATTGAACCTGGGTTGCTCTGCGACCGTGTTAAAGATCCCTTACACTGTATCTTAAACTCCAAAGTTGTGATGAGGGTTGAGGATTATAATTATATACCTCTGAGTCTCTGACAGTTAGTTTCTATCTTATAGTTCATCATTCCACAATCTAATTTATGGCTGTTTGACTTCTCTTAGAAATCAGAATGGAAATTGCATCAACTAGAATGCCAAGCTCTTGCAGCGCTGACTGAGGACAGGAAAAAAATGCTTACTCCTACTATACGACTAATGGTGAGGCTTATTCTCAAGGCAAAACTGCAGGAAGGGAAGGTGAGTGTTTTCCCTCTCCTTGCCAGTGCGTAATGTCCTTGTTTCCCTTTCTTTTTAGGTTTTTTTTAATAATAGGTCAACAATGTAATCAACTGTTACCTTAGTTGTAGGATTATGTCTAAGTTAAATTATCAAATTCCATTTTGGTCTCTTTACAGGTCGATTACATAGTCAACTTGTAAAAATATTTTGATTTTCGTATTAGTCATATGATACCATCAAATTCCACTTGTCAACACTCAACTATAATTACAATGACAACAACAAAAATGCCTTTATCTACTCCTCTACGTTCCTCTCTATATTGAACAGATTTATCCTCATGCCACTTCTCTTTTCTTTCTTCAGTTGCTGAGAAATGGATCTGATTTATATTCAACAACTAAAATTCCACTTGTTGGAGAACTTTTTTTCCCCATTAGCTGAAATTGCCTGAGTAGTGAGCACAAACTGTCTTTACATGCTTTTGAAATTCAAAGTGATATAGGTCTCTCAAAAGGAGGGGTGAAAGATATTCACCTTTACCCTATATGGAATATAGATGTTTCTATTAAAGTTCACATAGGTTCGAGCTTATTTCTTGTACCCTCAAATTATTTTTGGTTTTATAGTGGATCTATCATTTTGACATTTTGTCAAATCACTTATCCTACGCACAGAAGCCTTCTTGAGGTTGTCCAAAGTCTTTGCCAGCATATACATGGCACACCCTGATTTTGTTGTGATAAATGCCTTAATGTGTCACAATTATGGTTTTACTGTCAAGATTAGCCTCTTGGATATTGTCATGATAACTTGCAATGACTTAGCATTACCTATTGGCATTTGCGTGCTCTGTTACTGCTGGATGTTGTCGTCACAATGTTTGTGATTATGTTGTACCAAAAATATTTTGACGGTGAAGAAAATAACCTCAAGATTAAACTTCCTATTGTATATTTTCTCATGTGGGCAAGTTACTCCATTGATCCTAGCTAGCACCAAAGCTATTTTTCCTCCCTTCCCAAAAATTAATGGTCTCCAGTACTTTTATGATATGATATATGTGCGGAAGTGGTTCATGCACTGCAGCACTAGCGATCTTCAAATACTTGATGGATTGAAGTTCAAACAATTTCAAAATAGCCTAGCTATGTAAGACAACTGTTTCTTATATGAGTTTACTTTGTGTAGGTTATTCCGACTACTCCAATGGATAACTATGGCTTGGTGGATGCATTGGTTTCTCGTACCATAAATTTTATCTTTGCATTTTGACAGACATTAAAAGTTTCATAATGGATTTCCACTATTTTATTGACTGATTTTTTATTTTTGTCCAGATATGTCTGACATCAAGGAGGAACAATTAGTGCTTTATGCTCAAATGGCTAACCTTGTTAAGTTGGTGCTTCCTCACATGGAGATTAACCTCAAGGAGATAACGGCTAACTTCTCAAAGGCAAGGCTTAACTGATTTCTGTCATTGTAAAATGTTATTCTCCGTATTATTTTTCATTTCTAGGGAAGTGTAGCTCTTTATTAGAATAATCGCAAGCGCTCTGTCAATCTGGTTTTAATTGTCATTTTCCAGATAAATTAGGCAATGCCTCCCTTAGTCTTTTTTAATATAGATGAGGCAAGGTCATTATTTACTTGGTTTTAAGAAGATTTTTTGTACTAGCTCTTTGTATAAAGCTATAAATCATGCATATTAATGTTAATTTGATGGCAATCTATTTCAACTTAACGGGCTAATCCTTTACTGTTTGAATTTGGTGAAATTTTGCTCCCATGACTTGTAAAGTGGAATACCTTGCTCCAAAATGATGCAGAATAATATATTCACTGTATATAGTGCAGAGATGTACCTGCTCTTCTGATACCTTCATGTTGATATTAAAATAGTATGAAGAAAGCAACTCTGTATAATACCAAGGGAAACACTGTGTTATCTAAATTGTGTCCAGTTTTCTCAATGATTTTAGAATATCATTGTTAGCTGTTAAGGCTACATCTTTACTATTCAGATAGGTCTTTCGGTTACAACGAGCATAACCCGCTTGTACTAGTAACAAGCTTTGTTGTTACTAGTAACAAGTTCTGGTCCTACCTTGAAAGTTCAAGTCTTTTTTGTTATTAGTAACAAGTTCTAAGTCAGTTTTTTATGAATTTAAACATTTCTAGTCAATCCATGATATTATCTAGAGAGGTAATGTTGATATTACTACTATGCTTAGCATATCGTTAAAATACATTTAACTGATATGCTCATTTAGATTCCTGGAATTAACTCAGTGCAGCGTGTAATGATGTGAGACCTTCGGAGACCGTGTATGCGCAAATGCTTCTTTTGTATTAACATATTTTCATTGTGTTGGATCTGATGCAGCTAGCATGCAATGCACACACAATATGTGATAGTGAGCTCAGACCCTTGGGAACTGGACTTTATCCTGTAATTTCCATCATCAACCACAGGTTTTCCCTTGTGAAGTGCTTTTGGTTTACATAGCTTGACAATTCTTCTATCAATGAATCTTTTCTATCATGTATATGCTAATGTTAAAATTTCTGATGATGCAAATACCGGAATTTCAGCTGCATACCGAATTGTGTTTTGGTATTTGAAGGGCGTCTAGCTATTATTCGTGCTCTGGAACCTATAGCTAAAGGTAAAGAGGTTAGTATGCAAAAGAAACTTTGTCATAGCTGTTCATTCCTAGTATGTTGCGATTGGATTACTTTCTCACTAATGGAGCTTCTTTGTGGATAAGATCTTGATTAGTTATATAGAAACTGCTGCAACCACGAAGACGCGGCAAAATGATCTCAAAAAGCAATATTTCTTTACTTGCAACTGTCCTCGCTGTACTAAGGTTTTTTTTTTTTTTTTGCTAAATTAATTGCATTTAGTATAATATATTTTCATTTTATCCTTTTCTCTTGGCCAAGATATTTTTATGCAATCTTGCCTTTACCGACTATTTTTCTGCAAAACTATATCAGAGTCCATGTGAGGAACTTAAGGAAGATGCTCTTCTTGAAGGCTATAGATGTAAAGATAGCAAATGTGGTGGCTTCTTGCTTCAGGACTCTGGTACCTCATCAACAATGCTTAGTTGACTATTATCTCTGAAGCGATTCTTTTGCTTTGTTCGCTTATCTCCAGCAAATGTGTTCTCTTGGTTTGCTACACAGTGAAGAAAAGTTTCACGTGCCAGTATTGTGGTCTTTTTAGGGATCAGAAAGAGATTAAAATCATTGCTGGTGAGGTAGAAAGAATATCAGAGAAGGCTTCAAGTATTTTGTCATGTGGAAGTATCCTGTATTTTTTTTCTAGCACGCTCGAAGTAGTCAGCTTATTGCTTTAAATTAATACGTTTACTTATTGTCCTATGTTGTATTTCCCATGGAAACCCCTCTTGATTTGCTTCGTAAATGCCGTTCTTCTATTATAATTACATTGCCTTTAGGTATTTCTATTTTGTAAACTTAATGAAAGTTCAGATTTCATTGAAGCAAGCACTATGTATAAAACAATTGAGCAACTCGAAAGGGAGCTGTATAATCCAGAGTCTATCAGATTGCTACGAACCCGTGATACTCTTCTAAAGGTTCAGTATTAACTAATTTGATTCCCTAGTATCTCATTGTGCTCCTTATGATAGTTAAATTGAAGTTTATTAATCTCTTGTACAAGTTTAATAAGTTATGCTTGGTTATAAACATATTCCATGAATTGGTGAATGAAGAAAGCATGGCAATGCATCATCTTGCCCATCTAAGGTTACTAGAATGCACTGCTTTCTGGTGTGTAATTATTATCAGTGCTGGAAAGGCAAACTTTTGAAAACCTCAAGTCATCCTTGTCATATTAAACTCCGAAGCAGACATTAACGCAGGGGACAAGCTAGTAGGAGACATCTCAAAAGCATACACCTTGCAGCCAGGAATGTCAACAGTTTATTAGTGATGCTGTGGTAACAGAAGACCTAACATATCTCCATGAATCCCTCTTTCACCTGCTCTTCACTTCTAGGATATTTTTTAGATGTTAACACATTTATGTTTTCCTTGATTTATTCACAATATCTGTCGCTTTAATAATTTAGAATAAAAAACTATGGGGCTCATGTTGCTTCAGTGTGTCTAATGGTTTGCCTCACTACTGTTCCTTTATTAAGCATCAATTACTACATCTTCCTTATAGTGTTCAACTAGATTATACACACACAGACACATAGAGAGAAAAGGGGACGGAAGGAGGGAAGATGAAATATGATGGGATTCTCTCATATACAATGATGTAGCTGAATCTCAACAGTTAACAAAGGGGATTCTTTCTGTGTTACTGAGATTCTGGCTCATCGCTGTAAATAAGGGAATCCCTGCATTTGTCATATGATACGCATTGTTCTCTTACACGCACATATATGAGAATGTTGGACATGAGTTACCAGTTACCACCTCATTTAGCAAAATGACCTAACAAGAGATAGGAGTGGTGAGGTTCATTTGCTCCGAGTGACTAGCATGGTGTGTCTTGCCACTAGTTTATCTTTTGGTAGCTTATTTAGTACAATGAGTTGCTACTTCATTTCCATTTTCCGTACATATAATTTATTTATTTGTTTGTTTATTTCTTTAACTTGTCTTGCTCTCATCTCTTAAGTATATGGCATTGCTAGACATTTTACTTCGTTTTCCAGTGACAATATGATTCAGATGATTTTCTTTTGATGTTTAAGCAGATACTCATGGAGCTAAAAGACTGGGAAGGTGCACTAACGTATTGTAAATTGACAATTCCAATTTATCAAAGTAATCACTACCTCAGCTGAATATACATTGTATTCATCTATTGAGTTTTCCTTGTAGCTTTCACAATAAAGATATAACAAAGCATTTTGCTAACCAAGTTTTCTCTTTACTGCAGAAGTTTATCGAGAAATTCATCCAATGCTTGGCTTACAATATTATACATGTGGAAAACTAGAATGGTTGGAGTACACTCCGTACTTGTTCATCTTAAATGTCATTTCCTACTTTCTTTTAGAAGAGAAACTTTTTTCTACCATTCTTGTTCTATTCACTATGCAAGTTTTACAACAGCCTTTTAGATTAACTCCTTATGATAAGCAATCATCGAAGCATCCTTAAGATATAGGAAAATGTTAGTCTTTGAATGTTTAGGATTTAAACTGAATATTTCCGGAAATAGAGCTGACCCAAGACAGCCTTCCGGCCACATCAGCAGGTTAGAAGGACATTGGGTTTAAGATTACCTCTTATGATGCCTAAGAACAGAGTATGAATGAACAAAGAGACCATAGGCATGATGTATAAATTGATACAGTGAAGTCAAATAAAGTTCTTAATAGAAGAGAAAGTTGCAGGAGAAAAAACTAGGCATAAATAGATATAACAAGGTCAGAACAAATTTTCCATTTGATTTTTGAAAAATTATTCAGAATACTGCTGAGAACTTGTTATTGTTCACTTGCAACTTCTTTTTTTTCGAGAATAAGGATGGGAACTCAAAGAGAGTCCCCAGCCGTTTCCACGTGCGCAAAACTTTGAAGTAATTATAGAAACCTTAAAGAAAGACATCATATCTAAACCTCTGATTAATTGCAAACAATTGAGATTTCAGGTTGATGCTGATGTTCATATTTCATTGTTTGTTGTGACATGCTACCATGCTTATAGTCAATTAAATAAATATTTACTGACACCTATTCTCTTGGTATTCTTTTGCATTGGGGCAAATTAGCGAAGCAAAATCTTCAATGAACCACTCTTCATGCTTTTCAGGTTACTGGAACATACAGAAGATGCTTTGAAATCCTTCACTCAAGCTGCTGATATACTTCGAGTTACCCATGGAACCAGTAGCCCTTTCATGCGGGAGCTATTAAGCCGACTAGAGGAAGCCAGAGCTGAAGCTTCTTATAAACAATCGGCCAATGGCGACAGAATGATCGAAGATTGATCGAGTTATAACTTTTCTTGTACTCAAATAATGGCCGAATCATATTTATTTCCAGAGTTCATTGACTGCTGTATTCTATCATGTTGGATAGCTGTATGTGAAAATATTAATTTATGTATTTTCAGGTTTGTGATTTGTATATATCTGTGTAAGAAAATGTCGTTACTGCTTTGTTCTCTTGAAGGAACTCAGATCTTTTTTATGCCGAATAGGATAGATGGTTGCTCGAAGTGTGGTAGAAAGCATCACTGAAATGAAGAAGGAAAATGATAAGACACAAATAAGTGGGGTTCATGTGAACCAATAATTTCTATTTGCAATTTATAAGAAAATGTCTCACTTTCTTTTTGAGTTCGGATCCTCTCAAAGCCGGTCTTATATAGACTTTTTGTGCGGAGCGTCTAATCAGCTGCTGCGTGTTCCGCCTTTTTACCCATTTGCAACTTTTGATTCTAAGATCCCACTAATTATTTGATTCATTTAAGTTACATTTAACGTTGGGGCAGCAATAAACACTAATTTTTTAATATCTTAATTTCTTAATAATCTTAATTACTATCAGACCATGTTATTGAGAAAAAAAAATAGAATGTCAGCCAATGTTCTTGTACAGGCATGTCTACATGTGCTGTGAAACTCTAGAATTAATTATGTTTTTTTTATAAAAATTAATCATGTGTTTTTATAAAAAAAAGAAAGAAAAAACAGGTTGAACGACGAATCGTGGGAATGAATTTATAAGGAGAAGATCATATACCTTTTAATTCATTTATTCTTCTGTAGATAGGATGATGACTGTTTAGATTCTTTCTGTTAGAGCATCTCCAACAGCTTATTCAAAATTTTCTCTAAAATGGGGAAGCAAAAGTCATATTCCCCAACTAATTTTTACACAAACTCCAACAGCTTCCCCATTTTGAAGAATCAATTTTTTCCTCCAAAAATTTGGAGAATGCTGCAGATTTGGGGAAGCTTCCCCATTTTTTCTCCTCCATCCCTATTTTGGGAAATGAGATGGGGAATCTGTTGGGCCAAAAACCTAACTAAATTCTTCAAAAGTGAGAAATGTGGAAGCTGTTGGAGATGCTCTTAGTGTATATAATTAACGGTAACTTTTAAGGAATCACGTAATTAATTAATGGGATGTCGGAATATAGTGTATATAATTGACTATCTTTTGGAGATGCTGCGCATAGGATGCCATGCCGGATTTAGAGAGCTAGATTAATTGTGTAGGCTGCGGTCAAGGGAATTATTACGTTGTGATTCCCTCGGATCATGACCGTGATTGCTTGCCATATATACTAGCGTGTACATATACATATATATACACACGCACGCATGTCGTGGTAATGAGAAATATACAAGTTTTTCCTCACGTACGTACGTTTCATTAATCGGTCCGGTGAAATTATGGAGGCTAAGATGGTGCAGAGGGCCACCGTTCTCCTAACCGTGCTCTTGCTGCTCATTGGCCAGAGCTCCGCAGGCTATAAAGACTGCTTCAGCCGTTGCTACCCCGACTGCAGGGCCAAGGGCAACGGAAAGGCGTTCTGCAACTACACGTGCTTCTTCGAGTGCATCTCCGTGCCCGCACCGGTGTTCCCCCCGGCCCCGCCTCAGGCTGAGTCCAGCTGCAGCTTTGAGTGCGCCAAGTCCTCGTGCGCTCACCTTGACCCGGGTACGTAAGATAAAATCCTTCTTTCTTTTTTTTTCCCCCTTCCCCTTTTCGATCTTTCATGTGAAATCGGAATGATTAATTATTACTGACGTAAGTTCTGATTCTCGGCTCAACAGAAGGTGAGGATGCGGAGGCCTGCGTTGATGCTTGCGTCAAGAAATGCACTACTTAATTAGCAGCACGGATCCTGTTGAAGGAAGCATATAATTTAATTTAGATCCATAATACACGTCAATAAATTAAGCCTTCAGTTGTGTGACTGTACGTACGTATCTGGAGAATGATGAATATTAATGGGCAACTAAATCTTTGATATGAATTATATGTGCGTGCCTAATGATCGATACAGTTAGTTGTCATAAAATATTGGCTGCCTATTTTTTAAGTTTCATGACAGGAGGAAAAAAAAAACAATATGGCTTAGCACACGTTTGGTTATTTACATGCATTGTTTTATGGTACTATAGTGTTATGTTTCACCTGTACGTATATATTGTGTTCGAGCAGTGATTTATGATGGAAGTGTACGCATTAATTGGATGCTTTCAATTACTTGAGGGTGTGTTTTGTTTGAAGGGAAATGAGAGAAGAGAAAAGGAAATTATTTTTTGGTTAGAAAGAAACTCAAAAAGAAAATGAGAAATGAAATAAACTAAAGATGAAAAGTACCTTAAATCTATATATGATTATACTATTCAAACAGCTACCCCTGGGGCAGCCACATGGCATCCATTTAGCTACTTGCTAGTGTAAGAATTTTTTGTTAGAAACTTTTCCTGCGTTTAATTTTCCCGCTTTTTTTGTTAACAAACTGAATATGTTAAAAATTAAATCTGGGTAAAATTTATCTTTGGCTAAAGGAAAAAAAACTAATTTTTTGTTATAAATAACCAACAAAATTTTCAGACTAACTTTATTTAGAAAAAAAATTACGAAGGCAAAAAAGACAACTTGTTAAATTTATAGACCTATTTTGATATATTTATAGCTGTTGAGATTTAAAAGAATAATTTTCAAAAAATCTTTTATTCAAGGCTATAAAATATTAAAAGAGATAGAATATTATAAGGGGCTGTTTGGTCCCCTATTATAAGGGGTGGAAAACTCAGAAAACCCCTCCACGTCAGATTTTTAGCCCTCCACGTCAGTTTTTTTGTTTCCGTCCATTTCTTTGTGCCGCTTTGGTTCGCTCGAATGGAAGAGGGAAAACTCTGCTGAAATCGCCGCCAACTAAGATTTTTTCCCCTCTCCGATTTCCTTCCCCAACCAAGTGAAATTGATGAAAACTCTGCCACGTCAGATTTTTTCCTTCTCTGCTTTGTTTACAAAAGTTTTCCTTTTTTTTCTATGCGAACCAAACACAAGAAAAGTAAATACATTGGTTTCCCACCATTTTTTATGTGCGAACCAAAGCAAAACAATCTATTTCTTGGAAAAGTTTGAAAAACTCAAAACTTGTGTTTCTTTACATGGAATTGCATTTCTCTATATCAAGGAAACGAACCAAACAGCCCCTAAATAGCACGATTTTAGATCTGTCAAATTTTAAAAAAGGTATCTTTCCACTGCTTAAAATCATGAGAATATATTTTCCCTTCATTAAAATTTTCATCAACTAAAAAAATCAGACGGAGACATTTTATCCAATTTTAATATATGTTAAATTTTTTAAAAAAATCTTCAAAGCAATTTGGATCAAGGTAAAATCTTTTTTAGGGTATCTTTTACCATAGGTATATATTAAAGCAAAACCAAAAAGCCTTCCAACTCTCCAAAGATTGACACGTCAACATTTTATCCCATCCAATTAGTTTATAGGTGTACTTTTATATATGGGACCGTGCATCTATTCTACTGAAAATTCTAATCGTCCATTAATTAAAACTTAAAAAATTTGAGATAATTACGATGTTTTAATAATGGGTTTATGTTATGGTAATTCACCATCTAAAGATAAAGATATCAGGAGATTGTCTTCATAGGCGCAAAAGAGTTATGATCCAAACCAACTTAGCGGCCCAAAAGATCAGCCAAGAACAAGTCTATTAACCTGCTGAGTAGACGAGTCATCTTTACCGACGCGAAGTGCGGGAGTAGTCGACCCCTTATAAATCAAGACGACTTCTCAAGAGTCCACCTGCCTCATAATCGAGACGACTCCTCAGATAGTCGGCTCGACCATCTACTCGATTGTTTACGTCGGCCAGCAAGCTGCAGCCGAGCTGTTTGGTCTCGGCAAGTCACAGGAAATGAATCGCAGCCGATCCGACCCTGCTAAATGGATAAGATTCGTCTCTTATATCTTTATAGTGGGCCCTTCGGGAAGATATGCATGCAATCAACACTAGGCTGAGTCATTGAATCGGCTCCATCAAGGTCTTACTATGAGCAAATCTCGTGCACAGAAACAACTGCACTCTGCCTGACACGGAAGTCAATGCCGGAAACATCTTCGAGACATCCCTCTTCACTGTGCTCCGAATGACTTCACGCCTGCCAGCGCGCCCGAAGTCCACCAATTGTAAAGCAAATGAGTGGCTAAATAGCCAGCGCTATCTTCCCGTCAGTCGCTCATCTGTCAGATCGGCGGAACCTATCTTCGAGACATCCTCTCTGGCTCGAAATGACTTCCCTTCCAATCGGCAGCCTATATCTGTAAAGCGAAGGATGAACGCCCTCCGCCCCCCCCACCCACACACACACACACCACCGCCCGTCTCCTGTAGCGTAGTCAGAACCAAGGGTCAGAATCTCAGGGGCAGAGAACTACAAAGGGAGGTAAGGAGGAAGAGGGGGAGAGGGCTTTTTTCTTCCTTTTGTTTTTTTTTTCTCTCTCTGATCCCTTGAACCCCAACTCAACTAAGAGGGGGGGATCCTTCTTTATAAAAGAAAAATCTAATAATTCTAAGAGAGCACCCCCTGCAAGGACCTCAATGGCCCAGGGACTCTCCCTAAAGCCTCCCTCAAGCTCACCAGCTAACTTGACCGTCGGAGGTACCACGGGGGAAATAAGCCCCGTACTCTCACGATTCTTCCATGTATAGGCTATCCACTTAAGTGGATAGGAGGCATTGTCCACCAAACTTTTTATCCACTCATATTGTCTCAAGATTTGTGTCATCAAAAGATGCACAAATCTTAAAAGATTTTTCATATCTATCACGGATCCCAATGCAATATCAACGGTTAAAAAAGTTGGTGGATGACATAAGATATATATTAATGGGTGTCATATGTCAAGAAGGAGATTTTCTTCTTGAAAATGATGTGGCACAATCCCCACCATGTGAATAAAGTAGGAGAGAGAATATCACATGGTGGAGATTGTGTCACATCATTTTCAATGAGGAAATCCACTCCTATGACAAGGATACCCATTAATCTCATATATATATATATATATATATATATAGGGTAGATTTCTCTTGAAATGATGTGGCCAGCTCAATCCCCACCATGTGAATAAAGTAGGAGAGAGGAATATCACATGGTGGAGATTGTGTCACATCATTTTCATGAGGAAATCCACTCCTATGACAAGGATACCCATTATCTCATATATATATAAATATATATATATATTATATATAATATATATATAAATATATAATTAATATATATATATATATATATATATAGAGAGAGAGAGAGAAGAGAGAGAGGAATATGGGTATACTTGGGCCAAGGATCCTTGGTAGTGATGTGGACACATCTTGTCCATGACATCACACCTTGAAGTTGGTGAGTCTTCCATCTTCAATGTGTGATGTATGAAAAAGGATGGTCCAGTTACATCACTACCAAAGGATCCTTGTACCAAGTATACCCAAATTTTCTCATATATATATATATATATATATATAGAATAATGGGTATCCTTGTCATAGGAGGAGATTTCGCCTCCTTGTCGCCTATGTGGCACAATCTCCATCATCCTCATAAAGTAGGCACAAATCCCCACCAACTCAACACTCTCTCCTACTTTATGAGGATGGTGGGGATTGTGCCACATAGGAGTCAATGAGGAAATCCTCTCCTATGACAAGGATACATTAATCTCTCTCTCTCTCTCTCGCCTCTCCTCTCTCCTCTATATATATATATATTATATATATATATATATATATAATATATAATATTATATATATAATATATATATTATATATATATATATATATATATATATATATATATAATTTCATTCCAAGGAAACAATCCAAGAGCTTTTGTTTTGAGGCTCTTTCAAATGAATTCAAATGGTCGAATTGGGTGCTCATTACTCTTTAAAACTTTTTAGGTTTTGTGCTAGGATTAGGATGTTTGATTATAATATATAGTCTTTAGTTAACGTAGTATTATGTGGCGCTAGTATTTAGACCTTTGTTAGTTCAAAAAGGACCATATATAAGTGTGCTTCAATTTTTGTATGTGAACATGCTAATTAGGCCCTAGCGGCTTCCTTTCTTGCCTCTCGTGGTACTTTGCCACGGTTAGATTTATAGGCTTGCCATTGTTAGCAAACAACCATGCTTCTTCATCAAGCTAAACGACTGAATGACGAATATTGACCAACTACTGGAGTACAACACGCTACAAGTAGCAGCAGGAAGGAATATGACATGATGTAGTCTTTGCTTCGTTGAGCTCTTCGAGTTGTCTCTCGTCAGTAGGGCTGGGCATTGGGCCGAGCCGGTCCCGCTCGCATTTGTATTTGACCCGACTCGGCCTGACGCGAGGTGGGTCAGCTTCGACCCGTTGCAGTAGCGTACCACGGGTTTGAGATGGGTTGACACCCTAAGCCCATGTAAGCTAGCAGCTCACTCGACCCGTGAAGCCTGCCGAGCGAGCTGCGCATATGGGCGGGTCACCTCGCTAGACCCGTCCTGTGGGCCTGTCCAAATTAGATTTTTTTGGGTACGATACAAATATTTTTATCACAATATGTTTTAATTTCTTTTGTTCTTGTATTTTTAAATAAACTAGTAAATCAATTATTTATTGCTTGTGGATGTAGGACTTGCTCGAACCAAGTTACACATCTATATTTGCCATATTTTCATTTGTTGAAGTATAGAAATATACAATTCTACTTAATAATATTATCTTTCACGTTTCTTATAATGTTAGATGGTTATTTTATTAATTATATATACTTTTTTACATTTCTTATATTTTTTTGGTTGGATGTGGAAGAACGACTACAAGGAGGACGTGCGACTTTCTTTGAGGAGGAAGACAAAGAAAATGAAAAAGATTAAGCTCTATATTACAAGTTGGCATATGTTTTTTATTTTTATTTGCTTAAAGTTTATTGTAATTTATTCTTGTATTTGTTAAACTAGTGGAAAACTAATGCCAGTGGAGTAGGACTTGCCCCCAAACCACATAAAATATCTGTGTTTGCGATGTTTCTCGCTATCATTTTATACAAATATATAATTTTACATAATAAAATTCTTTTTCATCATATTTTTCGTTAATTACATATAAATTTAAGTGCTTAAACACTATTACAAGACTAAAAACCATTTACAAAATCCAAAATAAAAAATAAAAAATGGTGAGTCGGGCGGGCTGGCATGTGTCACGACCCGCTTCGCTTGTTCTTGTCCCGCAAGCAGGCTGGGCTGAGGTTTAAGCCCACGAACAAGCGTCAAAACTCAGTCTGCTTTTCTCAATGTGGACCGTCTCGCCCGAGTCTGCACAAGCCGGCCCGGCAAGACGACCAGCTTGTCCCATTGTCCACCCTTACCTGTCAGCTTCTCTCGCTTCATCCCCACTGTAATCAAAACTGCCTCTACTCTTTTCAAGTTAGCTCTAGTTTATCATCATAAATAAAAGAGTAGGGCCCTTTCTTGAAAATTATAAAAAAGAAAATAGTGAATCATCATGACTCCACTCTTTTGTTTGTGATAATGTATAATAATACATATCAAATAAATTGCTATTAAATCATTTAAATCTTGAGCTATTTTGAAATTAGCTTGTCAAATCATTAAAATCTCAACGAGGTCCTCGAATTCTTAAGCCATTTCCAAATTAGTTCCTCCAATCAAGGGAGAAATAACACCTGAAGGGATTATCGGGTGAAATCTATTGCTACTAAATATCACGTCTCTCAATTCTCATAAGTTTTTTAAGATTAATCCCTCAAAGTGCTATTTCAACTCTTGATGGGAGAGACTAATTTAGAAACAACTTAAGAATTGGGGGACTAGCAATTTCAATGATTTGTGGGACTAATTTAAGAATAACTTAAGATTTCAAGGACTAATATCGAAAAAACTCTTTCATGTTAAAAAAATGAATAATTGACGTTGCAAAATCTCATTTATGATTTTTATCGAAAGTTGTAGTGTAGGGTTGGGAGCGCGTCGGGTCGACCCGCGGCTACACAACTACCCTGTTCTATTTATGGTGGCTAGAGATATATTAACTCTCACTGCTTCCATGATTGCATAAAAAAGTGCCTTTTCAGCGGGTGGGAGAATCCTTTCCGAATGGAGAATATAACTTACAGCAACACACATGGAGATGTGTGTATGCTTAAAGGACTGGCTTGATGCATAAGAATGGTCACAAGGACAACAAACAAGACATTTCCTTGAAGAATTTGATAAGTATAACTTGGTGGAATTCAGCTCCTTGAATATTAATGATTAACATTTTTTTCCACTTATAGTTGTAATTTAAATTTAAACTAAATGAAAGTTATTAACTTCTTGTGGATGTAGGTTTTCCATCAAAGTCCAAATCATGTATATCTTTTTGGTTATGATGTTTTATCTTTGTACAATGTGTGTCACTGTGCGTGTATGTATATATATTATTTTATATAAATAGTAAAATAAAAAAATAATTTAAATTTTAGTTGATAGATACAAATATAAAGTTAATATAGTTTATAAATTAAAAATAAAAAAGTTTAAAAACCCACGACCGGTGGGTCGTGGGCCGGGCCTGACCCTGCCCGTCCCTAGGCCGGTTATCAGGCGGGCTAGGTCCAATCCCAAATACAGAACTAGAGAAATAGGTCTGACCCAATCTCTGATCCGGACAAACCCAGGTCGAAGCCGGCCTGACCTTAAACCCGGTGTACCGGCCTGCCCCACGCCCATCCCTATTGTAGTGTACTCGAGTCGAGTGTTATCGCGTCCAACAACAAGAGAGAGAACTGAGAGCGGCAATATGAGAGCATTTGAAAATTTGTCTTTCTGTTTCCTCTTCCGTCACCACGAAACCCTAGATCCATTCATCCACCCACTTAATTAAGCAAAAAAAAAAGCCCTAATCCTTTTCCTCTCATGGAATCTCTGCTCTCTTAATCCGGCGAGATGCCGTGAGATCATCCAGCGCGGTAATGGAAGGAAGGCTGACCCGGCGAGCAACCTCGGCCGTCCGATCGGAGGAGAGTCCAATCTCAACCTCACATCAAACAGCACCACCTCCTCCTCTTCCTCCCTCTCAGTCTCGCCGCCGGATTTCCTCAGCCACGTTAATGCGGTCTTCAAGCGCCATAGGCCCCTCGGTAACTTTCTAGGTTTCCTAGAAAAATTTCCCTTGATTTTACTTGATTTCTAGGGTTTGGAGTTCATTTAGGTTTATTTCGAAATGTAGGGCTGTAAATTATTACGTTTTGAGTTTATCTCTTGGTTTTGCTGGTGACCTAGAGGACGACTGCAGGTCTTGTTTAGTTCATTGATTTTTGTAGGATTTTGGATTCTCAACAGTTGGAGCTGTGATTGGGTGTCTTTTGGGTATTCTGACTACTAGATTCAAGTAATCTTTTCCTCAATTTTATTTTTCACTGATTTTGAGTTAGTGATTGGGTATTTTAATTTTACCGGTTCTATTTGTGACCTATAATAGAAGTTTAGCTATCAAGTTCGTTTCTTAGAATCTTCAGTTTGTCATTGGGTATCTTAGAAATGTCATTATTTGTGTTTAGTTGGTCAATAGTGTGGATGAGAAAGAAATCAGGAAGGAAGGAAGAAGAAAAAGGATCGATCTTTTTCCATCTCTCTTTTTCTTGAACCAGGAAGAAAACCTTCCGGTGCTTTAACCTGCCTGTGCTTTCTTATTTCATATTGTTTTATCTCAATTATTTGTTTGCAGTAAGATCAAGTTTGATGCTTTAGGGGATATGTTATTGTTGCTTACTGTTTTCGCCCCTTTTTTTCTTCAAATGTTATCCTAGGTACGATGCAGAACTTTTCACGAGCAAGTCGAGTGTTGGTTAATCAGGGAGAAGCATCGAAGGGTAGCATCTCCACCACTTCAGTTGCTGTCAACAATGACAAGAAGTTACCCCAAAAAATAGCTAATAGAGGAGCTGGGAGGTTGGTGAATGTCGGACTTGATCAAAGGAAAGACAGTGTGGTGGAAATCAGGACAAATCCTCAGGAGGATTCCTCCCTTACTCCTCCTTCAATTATTGGAACTGTTATTAATGTTCGGGACAACAATACGGGCTCATTTGAAAGGCAACAGGTGGAGGCTGGAATGCAAGTTGAAGAGAAAAAGGAATCTCTAGCTGTATCCTCATCTCTTGATGATCTCAAGAACAATCAGTTTTCTTCATCTGATAATTCGAACCTAACTTTTCAAAGTAAGTAGAAAATTTTCTGTTTATGAAATTCATGAGGTGGCTTAACTTTAAAGTGTAAGGAAATTTAACACTTTTCCGTGACCAAAACATGAAAACTAGAGACTTAAAAAACAACATGTTGCACTACTATAGTCTTTAATTCCACAAAAAAACTGTAGTATGAGTATCCATCCCACAGTTACGTACTTTCATATTCTCGTATTGTGCTTTGAAATAATGAACTGACCAACTAGGGATCATTTTTTTTTCTAGAAAAAAGCTAATTTCATTGGCTCTTCTATAATACAAAAAATAAACGCTAAAAGTCTTGTTGGCGGATAAATTAATGCCCTGAATCACTTGCCCTTAAAAGCTGTTTAGGTCTATAGAAACTGAAGAAATCAAGTGCAAGTTAAAAACAGGAGAGAGAAATACAATTCATTTCTCTCATTTCGCAGGTTTTATTAACTGATCATAGAACCGCTGCTCTATAGGAAATAACTCATTCTTCAAACCCTTTCCATGAAGCAAAACAAACTCTAGAAATCTAGTCAGATCACAGTACTATATCCTGAATCCCTAGTCATTATTTGTGTAACCTTGGTTAGCTAGAACTGATGATGAGGGGGAGAAAGTAAGAAAAAATGCAATTTGTTTCTATAAGTTGCATTGGCTTTAGCAACATGTGTGCATATGACATGTGCACTGTTATAGTTCAAATTTACTGATCTACATATGAGTGCATACTTGTCATCAGTAGTTAACTAAAAACCATAATTCCTTGATAACTTTCCTTCACATTGACTGGAACCAATCACAGGCTAGTAGTTGAATGAAACTGTATATGTTTGGTTGTTGTATGGTTTTCTCTGTGTCTCTTAGGTTCTGTGGTATGCAGGTCTTGATGCAAGAATGACCTTTGACACTAGAATGGATGACATCTCATCTTATTTGCATTCTCTTGCATTGACAGAAGGGCAAGATCAATTTGGCAACAGGGTACCTGCTAACGATCAGGATTCAAAGCAGCATGATCTAGCAAAAATACGAATATATGGCACGGGTGAGGCTCACATGACGCAGAAGAGGGATGAGTTGAGGAACCATCAAAGCATGGATCAATTTGTTCGGTCTGCAGTTGTGGGTTCTGCATGTGCTACAACAATGTCAGTCCACTCAGGACCACCATATCAATGCACCAATGTTGCTTTGGCCGGACACTCTGGATTTTCGACTCAAATGTCCTCTGCTGTAGAGAACATGTCGGATGTTCCAGCTCATAGTCTCCCATTAGGCCAAGAGAGTGTGGTAAAGGAAGCTGATGGACAACAGCATCAGCAACAGTCTCTTCAAATGTGTGAAGGTATCAGGGAGAACATGGTTTCTAGCAATGCCAGTCATTTGAAATCTCAAGTTCTTTCTGCAAATAATCCATCTGCCAATGTGGATGTGGAGCCTTCTCAGTCGAGCAAAGTTGAAAAGGCTCCCCGTAAGAAGAAATACGATCCTGATGTATTTTTTAAAGTCAATGGCAAGCTTTACCAGAAGCTAGGAAAAATAGGTAGTGGGGGAAGTAGTGAAGTTCATAAAGTAATAACGTCAGATTGTACAATATATGCACTTAAAAAGATTAAACTCAAAGGACGCGACTATCCAACAGCTTACGGGTTTTGTCAGGAGATTGAGTATTTGAACAAGCTAAAGGGAAAAGGCAATATCATACAACTAATTGACCATGAGGTAAAACTCTTTAAACTAAGAATATGATGTCTTCTATCAGATAGATACATGCACATTATGCATCATATATGTTAATCGAAAAGATTCAGTTAAAGCATGTGTTTCCTTCCTATACTGTGAACTTTTGTGCTTCTGATACATCGAATTTACCATAGCAATATGACATTTGTTTGATATAAATGCTATTAGATTCCAGCACACTAAAATTATTACAAAATTCTGAAGATATATTTTGTAAGTGAGAAGAACCTTCTCTTAGTATTAAAGCTTGTGAATTGATAATGCTGCATGAAATTCATAACTTATTTCTAAGATTTTGTAGTTTGCCTCTCTTAGCATATGATATTTCACATGCAAAGCAGTAAAATACAAATTCAGCGTGCTGTAGGAGCTTTAGCACAAACATTTGGGCCCACCGGTGCCACTCGAACAAAAGATGATGTACATGGTTCTTGAATTGTAGATTAGGCTACCAAGGTACAGGGTTTCTTGGATTTTATTGGACATGCACTTTGTAGGCATCACCATGCAGTGGTGGAGCCAGGACCGTATAAAGGGCAACTGAGATTTAATATAAAAACCACATTTGATTAATAAGAAAAAATTGCAAAGTTATATGGTGCAAAATGAACTTACCTAGAGCTTTATCTTCTTCCTATTTACATAATTATTTTACTTTAATTTAACTTAAGGTAGTATCTAAATGCAATTATTTTTACGTAATTGAAAATGACGTCTATTTTTCACTGTAGCACCCCTACGGTATGGAATTTAATCGTTTTGTGTGCATTACTTTTTAGATGTCAACAAGATTGCCACATAATTATCTTTCCTGACCTCTATGATTAGATTCAGCAATTTCTTGATTTGTATGTCAAATCCACAAGAGCAACCCAATTCTAGCAAGAAAAGAGTAAGAGCTGTGGTTAGTTTGTCCGAGGTTGGGTTTTATTGACGAGTAAGTTTTTGATATTCAATCTCAAATGATAACGGGTTATGTTGTGGAGGCGTTAGTTTGTTATGAATGCCTCACTTGACAGCTCATTCTGTTAGCTATTTTTATAAGAAGTGATACTTTAGACCACATGGGAAAAACAATCCTGTTTAGCCTGAACCAAACCAAATATGTTTGTAAATTTATTTATTAGAAGTTAGAACAAATGTTGCAGTCTGACCATGAACCTGGGACCTCTAATAACCCAACTTATTCCCTATTAAGCTAGGCGTCGATCACATTACACATACTACTAACTTTCGCTTATGGCTGACATAAAACAAAAGGGGGGTGGTTATGAGTTTGTATGCTTTCGCTCTTTGCTGTGCTGTGTATCTTTTTAGTATATAAGTCTGTATGAGCAAATTTGTATGAAATAATAGTTTTTTGCTTATAGATTACATACCACGACAACTATTAACTGCTTTAATGTCTATGGGGTGGTTCGCTTTATGTTCTATGTGGATTTTGCATCCTCTTGTAACGTAGCTTGCTAGAATAACAGGCATTAAAGTATAACTTCTTATTTTGGAGAGAGGAAAAAAATCTTATATTCTTTAGTTGTCTGTTCCACGGATCATTTTTGTCAGTAAGTTTTCAATGCTGAACACTTACATACGCTGTTATCTACATTGACTCTTCTTGAAAATCTTCGATATGTAAATTCTTCTCCCCCCCCCCCCCCCCGGGCTTTGATCATATTATTTAAATGGCCAAAGGTTACTATCTAGTATCTACTTGTATAATTCTTGTTTGTACTCACTCATTCATGATCTTAGAAAATTCTCAATTTATCCCCAACACTTGCCACATTTTTTATAAGATAATGAAAATAACTAACATTAGGTAGCAAATGATTAAGATTTTGGGTATGAATAAGAATGCATATGTGCAGACCTCACACATATACACACACAAGGACAAGTACATGAAATTACATTTCCAAATCCTGGCGAGAGGTTTTGCGCTTAGGGTATAGAATAAGCATATGCATGGTAGTATGGTACAATTACGTTAAGGAAACTGCGACACATCTCATTTTTTCTGTCATGTTATTAGAACAATTATGTTCTCTGGATATTTCTTTTTTTTTGTCTCATAAGATCTCATATGCAAAGGCCATTTCGTCTCAGGTGACTGATAAAACGTTGCTTCAAGAAGTCATTAATGGCTCAATGACTGTAAAAGGCCATTTCGTCTCAGGTGACTGATAAAACGTTGCTTCAAGAAGTCATTAATGGCTCAATGACTGTAAAGGATGGAAGGATCAAAGATGATCAATATATTCATTAATGGCTCAATGACTGTAAAGGATGGAAGGATCAAAGATGATCAATATATTTACATGGTTCTGGAGTATGGAGAGATTGACTTGGCTCACATGCTTTCACAAAAGTGGAAGGAGGTGGAAAGCTTAAGTTTAGAAATAGATGATAATTGGCTCCGATTCTATTGGCAGGTCCTTTCATCATCACTATACTGCTGTTTCTTTTTGCTTTTTCTTCCTTTTATCAGGTCATTTTACAGTTAGACTAGCATTGCAATTGAAAAGAGAAGTTATTGAAGACAGTAGTGTGTAACAAAAGTAGTACAAATAGTTAACAAAAGACCTAGAGATGCAATATGCTCTAGTTATTTTTCAAGCAAATGCAGAACACGATTCATAAAATATTCAGTTATGTATCAAATAGTTGGTACCTTTGTTCTCGATATAGTGAAAGACTGTCAATCTCTGTTAAATCATCGACACAGGACCATCACTGAGTTGAACCTACTCTAGGCTGTGTTTGGTTATGTAGCGACGAGGAAAAAGAAAACTATTGAAAATAATTCATGTTCTTTTACTTACATTAGTGACCTGTGTGGATGCTGGCCAATTATGCCAATGATGGAAATCTATGTAGAACTGTCTCATTCTTCATGAGCTTCGCATTCTTACCATCCAGATCTAACTTATTGAATGTTGGTAAAACTCAACTTGCAGAGACATGTTGGGATATAAAACTATAACCCCCAAATCTCACCATAACTTTGGAGTTTTAGTGTAATGGCAGGGACTTTAAGAAAAAATTTAAATGTTTTTTAAAGAAGATTTCTCCAGATGTTCTCCAACCTACCCACCAACAGAAAAGAGCTGAACAGAAGGGGAAAAAAGGAAAAAAGAATAAAAAGAAAAAGTAGACCATTTGATTGGAAGTAAAGCTGCTTGCTAGCAAATAATAAATTCTCCTCTTATCATTTTGCATCATTGTATTCATTCTCCCTATATTCCATTATCCAACAGTTCATTCAGTTAAACCTTGCGTTCCCAAGGGCCAGAACCAATTGATCATCTTAACAGTATCAGTCTCTTAATTATAACTCAGCTACGGTTAACTGTATGTTTCATTTTGTGACTACCGAATGGTGGATATGTGAAGAGTTTTCCGTAGATGACCATCAGTTGTCTTTTCTTTTGCATAGACAGATGTACACGTCATTTATGTGTTTTCTTTTTCCCCTTTTAGAAGAATTGACATCTCCCTCTGCAGCAAATGCTTGAAGCTGTTAATACCATACATGAGGAGCGTATTGTTCACTCGGATTTGAAGCCTGCGAATTTCCTGCTCGTCAGAGGATCCTTGAAGCTTATTGATTTTGGCATTGCAAAAGCTATACTGAGTGATACAACCAACATACAACGTGATGCTCAGGTTCTTATCATGGCCATTATTATTTTCTCCTTCCCGTATGATTATACGCAATGATCTCTTAAAAGTTTACCTATTTTGCGTGACTACCTGATACGAGTCACCTGACGAGCACCTTTGATCGCGAAATTATCAGGAGTGGGTTGTGAAGAAAACAATAGAAAACACACAAAGAATTGAGTTGGGCGAAGGAAAATACATTCTCTAGATTATGAGAAATAATAAATTACAAATCTCTCTCTCACAATCTCTCTAGATCAAAGAACAAACTCCCTGATCTCGTTTTTTATTACAATCTGGATAGATAACCCTAGAAAAATCGTGTTTATATTTAAATCAAACAGAAAACCTAAACAGTGCAAGAAACTAAGCCCATGCCCAAAACCGCATCGTGCTCGACCGCAGAACCCATAGCGGTCGACCGTATCAAACGATCGAAACTCAGTATCGACTACAGGGTTTGGCGATAGACCGTGGAGTTCGTCGCGGTCGACCGCGAAAAGTCCAGAGACTTTTTCCTAATCTGTGCACGTTTGCGGTCGACCGCGGAGTCATGTGCGGTCGAGCGTTGGAAGTCCAGAGACTTTCCTGTAATTTTTTCGTACTCTTCGATGTTGCCACCTTCAACGACTTCGTCCACATCTCTATTCTCAAGATATCATGAGAATCATCTATCCTCAAGCTCCCATGAGGATCGCTAAACTCCCGAAGCAAGGAAGAAGATACACCCGTATTATGGCTCCCCCCTTTAGGAGCTTGAAGTCCCGTTCAAGTTAGAACTATAGCTGAGGGAACTCGAGAGCCCCTCCTTCTTTTCTGACCCACTTGGCCTTGCTAGGAATCTGGTCTCGAAGTCCGATTGGAAACAACTCCTTCATCCCGCGTCTCGTCGTAGTCATCTTCCGCTCCAAATTGCAACCCTCTTTCAGTGGCTCCTCATAAGAACTAATGCATAGCGCAACAAACTTCTTGCTTGCATTCACTAACCTTTTCGCTCGGTTCACCGTCACCAAGTTTGTCTCCTTCGGAAGAGATGCCAAAGAAATATGAACTTTCACCATATTTGGTGAATGTGTATTTGTAAGCCCGCCTCTCGTAGATCGCGTATCTATCCTACAAATAGGGATTGCCCAGTATAACCTGGCAAACATCCAATGGAACTACGTCGTACGTGACCTCGTCAATATACGACTCGTGGAGCGCAAATCTGAAAGTGCATTGATCAGCTACACTCAGTCCCGTCTCCTTCTGAATCCATCCCAATGGATAGAGCTTTGGATGCTTAATTATCTTCAGGCCCAGCTTTTGAACCAAGACCTCAGATATCAAATTTTTTTCGTTGTCTGGATCAACTATGACATATACCAAACTAGTCAAGGTTGCTGATAGCGGATCGCGGCGCGTCGCGGCGAGGTATCGCTAAGGCTATATCGGGCTATTACGGCAAAATCGCGGCAAATAGCGCACAGTCAAATAGCGGTCAAATTTAAATATATTTAAATATCCTAAATAATTAGAAAATTCATAAAAAATCTAAAAAATCAATTAGTTGTAAATTTTTTGTATTATCAATAGATAACAATTAATAAGCTTGTTGTATGAATGAAACTATGAAGAAATTCAAGAAATATAGCATCATAATATGTGTGATAGCGGGTTTAGCCGGTTTAGCCGCTTTTAACAATAAAAATCCGCTTTTAACCGCGAAAATCCGCTTTTAACCGCAAAAACCTGCTTTTAACCAGTTAAAATCCGTTTTTACGCGCTATTCGAATGAATAGCGGATTTTCCCGCTTAAGCCAGCCGCGAAACCCCTACGCGTAGCGCTGAAAGGCCGCGACCGCTATTCGCGCCGCTATAGCCCTGCTATTGGCCGCTATTTACAACACTGAGACTAGTCTTCACCTGCAACTTAAGAACAAAAAGCTGCTCCCTAAGGTCGTCGTCCTCTTTCGTGGTCTGCTTCCTCGTCAATCTTATTGGGTTCTGTCATCCCCGGGACTTTTTTCGAAACTTGACCTATCACGTATGCCTTTTTCTCCTTCTTCTTCTTCAACCCCTTTGGTTTGAGATGAAGATACACCGATCAGCTACGTGTTATGTCTTCTCGCAATGACTACAAATCAATACTGCTTTCCCTGGGTCACCCTTCCTCTTCTCCTCCTTAGATTGAGAACCATTAGACTCGCCTCCAACTTGTTTTGCATCTCCCTTTGCCTCATTGCCCTTCTTTTGCCTACCCTCTATGATAATGGCCTTCGCACTTGCTTCTGCAATGGACTCGACTGTGAACAGTTTTAATATATTCATTCAGACCCGTCATATACTTCATAAAAATAGAATATTCCTCCGTTGCGATGTTGAGAATTATCGTCTGCTGCTGGAATTCCGTTATATACTCTTGAACGGTCTTTGGCGCAAGCCGTACCACTTGTACTAACGCTCCTCAAGAAATCCCACCGGGTAGAATTGCTTCCTCAGTAGTTCCTTAAACTTGTTCCACGACACCGTATTCCTTTCCTGCTTGCAATAGGATTTCGACCATATCATTGCATGCCCCGAAAACTTCAAAGTTGCGAACATAATCTTCTCTTTTGACGAATAGCCATAAAGGGTAAAATATGTCTCCATACGCTCGATCCAATCGTCAAGCCTCTCGACGTCAATACTACCATCATAAAAATGAATCTCTACTCTGAAATCTATCTTCAGATTCTGGTAAGAACCTTTACCCCCTTGATGCAGAACAGTCTTGACAATCTCGGCATCCTCTTTAGAATCAGATTTCTCGTCTTCCCCATCGGACTCTACAGGTTTCTTCTTGCCCTTCGAAGAAGATTCCTTCTTTTGTTCTTTCCTTGGAAAAGATTGACGAGCTGTGTGAGAACCGAATCCATTGTCTCCATCTGTTTCTCCAATGCATCTAATCTTACTGAACTATTCCCTTCAGTCATCTTCTTCTTCCTTAATCCCTAAACTCTTTCTAAAAAAATAAGGATATCGCCTAGCTTCTTATATTGCGATCGAGTAAGGACCATACACAGGATCCCCCTTCATAGGATCTAATCGTTCTGATACCAACTTGATACAAGTCACCCGACGAGCATCCTTGATCGTAAAATTATCAAGAGTGAGTTGTGAAGAAGACAATAGAAAACACACAAAGAATTGAGTTGGATGAAGAAAAATACATTCTCTAGATTATGAGAAATAATAAATTACAAATCTCTCTCACAATCTCTCTAGATCAAAGAACAAACTCTCTGATCTCGTTTCTGATTACAATCTGGATAGATAACCCTAGAAAAACCGTGTTTCTATTTAAATCAAACAGAAAACCTAAACAGTGCAGGAAGCCAAGCCCAGGCTCAAAACCGCATCGCGATTGACCGCAAAACTCACAGCGGTCAACCGTGGCAAACGATCGAAACTCAGTATCGACTATAGAGTTTGGCGGTCGACCGTGGAGTTCGTCGCGGTCGACCGCAAAAAGTCCAGAGACTTTTTCCTGATCTGTGCACGTTCGCGATCGATTGCGGAGTCATGTGTGGTCGACCACTGGAAGTCCAGAGACTTTCCTGCAGTTTTCCCCGTACTCTTCGATGTTGCCGTCTTCAACGACTTTGTCCACATCTCTATTCTCAAGATACCATGATAATCATCTATTCTCAAGCTCCCATGAGGATCGCTAAGCTCCCGAAGCAAGGAAAAAGATACACCCGTATCACTACCGGAAGCTAGATTAATGCTGTACAGGCAACTCATCTATTTATTGTCCGAAGTTTCTGCAGATGAGCGCTTGCTAGCCCTTTCCTCTTACATTTCTTCATTTAATCCTTTAGCTGAATTTTTGTTTCAGGGTGTATCACCACAAAATTAAGCTGAGATGCGTGGTTGTGAATTTTTACGGCACATGGAACCTGTTTTTCTGGAATAATTAACATTGGAGACCCTTGCAGTGACAACAAATTAATAAATCCTATTTTCCCATTAGCCTTATTTAAGTTTCAGGCATTAGATCTCTAGGGCCTATAACCACAAAAGTTAGGCTTAGAAAGATGTCTATAAATAACGGAATTCAATGGATGAACATAGCTACAGAAGGCTTGAATTTTTAGGGCATATAGCAGATTCTGATACTGGCTAATGCAGGTCGGAACCCTAAACTACATGTCACCCGAAGCATTCATGTGGAATGAACAAGACTCAAGTGGAAACACCATAAAATGTGGACGTCCTTCAGACATCTGGTCTCTCGGTTGCATCCTGTACCAAATGGTCTATGGAAAGACTCCCTTTGCCGAGTACAAAACTTTCTGGGCCAAGTTCAAAGTCATCACCGATAAAAACCATAAAATCACTTATGAACCAGTCTCCAATCCACTGCTTGTCGATCTTATGAAAAGATGCCTTGCATGGGACCGAAATGAGAGATGGAGAATTCCCCAGCTTCTTCAGCACCCTTTTCTTGTACCTCCAATTCCTAGAGAGTTGCCAACACTACCAGATAACCAGCAGTATAGTTTTCTTTTGGAGAAGATCTCTTTGTATTGGAATGATCCTGAGGTTTCAAGACTATGTTCTCAACTCCACGAAGTTGTTGACAATCTTGAGAGACCTCGCAAGGATTAGGAGTTCATGGTAAGTGAGTAATCAGCTGTGTTCAATTAGATGTATATTTTATTTCATTGAAACGGGCCTTTTCATGCAATCTAAGCTTTAGTTGTGATAGCCCATCAAACTTGTGTTTACTTTGTGAAAGTGTGGTATTGTAAAAAGGCCTAGGAAATTGAGATGACAAACGGGAAACATTGCCAGTCATCCTCATGTTTGTTTTTTTTTACTTCTCAAGTATTTGTTCCCTCCTAATTTGGGGTTAACCCTTTCTTTAAGCAAAGGCTTGTTTTACTCTTCATTAGAATGATAGTGAGAAAAACTTGTTTGTTGGTATGAAGATTGATGCTATGGCTTCAACCTTGTTTGAAGTTATCTTTTCTTATTTGGTAAAGTATCCCTGAAATGATGTGCAGAGTCTGTGAAGCTCTTAAACTTTTATGGTAATTGGTGACGGAAACCGTAACTTCCACATATCAAACATAATTTTTAGTGAATACTCTCTAAGCCACATCAGCTTGATCTTGTTTGCCCAATTGGAGTTTATCTCATGGATGAGAGTGTTCTATATTTGGAAATCACTTACAATTTTAGTTTTTATAAGTTGAAAATTTGGAGCATAAATTAAATGGGAAAAGGTTAAATATCTTATCTCGTGAAAAAACAAACAACCATACTTCGTTGTATCTCAATTTTAGAGTTAAGCAACTAGTTCATACGTAATGCCCATTTGGACAAGTTGGTGGGCAACTGAACATTGACGAAAATATTTAACTTTAGATTTTAATTTTAGGATCGCATATATTTATCTTAAGATCACGGATCACACGACTAATTCTAGTCATATGTGGCAAGATGACATAACCTAATGCAAACTGGGTTGTTCATTATTATCTTAAGACTTTTAGTTGTCTCAACGTATACTTGGTTGGCACATTTCCTAGTTGGCCCCGTATCACTCACACGTCTTAAAACTAGTAGTTGCGTACATTTTATTTCTTGCAGGTCTTTGGCAAGAGTGCACAAAATATGTTGAGTGATTATATATTATGAATAAAATAATCAATTCAACCTTGAAGTATTAGTGAACTCCCAACTTCTTTCTTAAAGGGTCAATTTACTTATTTTTCTCTTTAAACTATGTGTTGCGCTCATTGTGATCATTTTGTGAGCCCACGGTCAAATATTTAACAGATCAAAATATATGACCAGTGTTTTTTTTAGGTGCATTTCTTCGTGAGTTTTTATCACTTTGTCTCCTTTTCTCACAATCCAAAATTAATTCCAAGCACTTTTCTATAAAAAAATTACCCTTTACCTTTCCTTGTAATTGGAAAATTATTTTGTTTTAATTGCATACAATACAACAAAAATAATACTTTTACGACATTAATATGTTAAATATTACATTGTGGGCTGAAAAATGATCACATTGGGCACATACACATAGTTTAGGGGGGAATAGGCAAACTAAAACTTTAGAAAGAAAGTTGAGAGTTTACCAAATACTTTAATGTTATGATGCTGTATACAATCGACAAAACTACCTTGAGCTATCAAAAACTGCACCTGAGTATTCTCCATTTTCTTCTTGTGAGTAGGTCTACCATCCTTAATAGATAACTTTCTGACGGCATATAATATTTTTTCTATAGATTTAAAAGTTTCTAATATTTTCATCTGATTAAAAAATCATTTACATAGTTTTATGCTAAAATTCTAGAAGATAGTTTTGTGAATTTTAATCTTAGGAAAATGACGTTACGCGGAAGATGGGAGGATCCAAATTCCTTCTTCTCGATGTCACCAGTAATACTATAACTATATATAATATACTATATACTATTATATATATATATATTATATATATATGAATTATATAAATATATATAGTAATATATTATATATATATATATTATATATAAAAGATATAATGAGTATCCTGTGTCATAGGAGGCAGATTTCATCTTCTTTGTCGCCTACTGCTGACACGCAATCCTCCACAATCCTCGTAAAGTAGGCACACAAATCCCACCACTCACAACACACTCGTTCTCCTATTTTATGAGGAATGGTGGCGATTGCATGCCCACATCAGCCGTCCACAGCGCGAGCGGAAATCTCTCTTCTATGACCAAGGATACCCATTAACCTATATTTTAACTACTATAATATATTATATCTATATACCTCTATATATGATAGTATAGTTATACTATATATAGAGGCAATGATGGGTATACTTGCGCGCCAAGGCATGCCCTCTCGCGTGAGTGCATGGTGGCCGACCAGCATCTTCGTGCCATACAGTCACACATTGGAAGTTGGGTGAGCGAGGGCTCCATCTTCAAGGTTGTGATGTTGTTGGACAAATGCCTGCTCCACATCACTACAAGAAGGCATCTTCGGTTACCAAGTATACCCATTTTTCATCAGTATATATATATATATAACTCACTATTATATATATATAGATATATATAATATGATATATATATATGATATATATATAGTTATATATATATTGCGTTACACGTGTTTTTTGCCATACCCCGTCTTTTGCTTCTGTATCATGCTCTTTGTTCTTATATACTAATTAAATCCCTACATTAATAACACTATAATTCACATGATATCACGAAGGACCAAGTCAAATGTTTGAGAGACAAGGATACACATTAATAACACTATAATTCACATGATATATCACGAAGGACCAAATCAAATGTTTGAGAGACAAGGATACATACAAGAAAGAAAATTCAAGGCATATCCCGTAGTTTAAGCATATTCCCATTTATCTGAAAAATATTCCTCTTGTTTTAAGGTTTTTGGTCGATGCAAACTAGGCAAATAAAAAAAGAAAAAATTGCCCACCACCTGAGCAATATAAGAATTGTAATGGAATTGAAGTCTTTTAATAAGTACAATAGGAGTTTGATAGAATTTCCACTCACGAGTTTAAGAAATCCTAATAGATAGACATCAATCACCCACTAACAAGTAACATTTGCCTTTTGTCATTTTTATCATAATGACGGTCTCTTTTGAGCTCAATATTCATGATAAGTATATATATATATATTTTTATGGAAAAATTGTGTCAAAGCCCCAAAAGTAATAACTTTATGTGCTGCAAGCTCTCTAACTTTTTCCCATGTGCAGCGGCCCTTAAACTGGAGATCTATGCGTTGCAGCCATTCTTTAGTAATTATTCCCTACCAACTAAGCATATAAAGAGAATAAAAAATAAAAAAAATCTCAAAATGTCACCACCTCTTCCACTCTTTTCTCTCTAAATCTAATGGGCATGGATCCTCATTCCTCCTCTTTTCTAACACATCTCATTCCTCCTCTCCCCCTCTTCCTCCTTTTTCTCTCAGACACCAACATTCATCTCTGCCACCACCGAACTTTTGCAAGCTCCAGCCATATTGTTGATCTAGGGGTATGTATTACATAAAAAAACTCAATATGTTTCGTTTTTTCTCCTACTAATTTTCTCCGCTCTCTCTTTCTCTCCCCCCCCCTCGAAAGCAAAACAAGCCCAAATTTGGTCGACAGTGGCAATGGCGAAACCCTTGAATTCGTCAAAGTTCTCGTCAGAGGATCCGTCAAACAACATATTGGTCTTCAACACTGAAGGCGAAGAACGAGGCATAGGAGACGGTGTTGGAGGAGGATGACGAGGAGCTCATATGTTAAGTTTAATGAAATTCATAATTTCTATTTAAACATCGTGGAAAGATGAAAATTTAAAGGAATAAATATATACTTTTTGATGATTTTTTTATGTTAAGTTCAAATCCAAGGCGAAACATTAAGTCTAATGAGTTGGAAGTGAAGTCCAAGGGCTTGTATGATAAGCCTATCGGGTTGAATAATAAGTCCAAATGATTGTATATTAAGTCTACTAGGTTGAATAATAATAAGTCTAATTTGTTGAATATTAAGTGTAATGGATTATATGTTAAGTCCAATTCGACTCATATTAAGTCCAATTCGGTTCATGTAAAGTCCAATTTATTTCATGTTAAGTCCAATTTGTTTCATGTTAAGTCCAATTTAAATCATGTTAAGTCCATTTCGGCTCATGTTAAGTCCAATTCGGTTCATTTTAAGTCCAATTTAAATCATGTTAAATCTAATTTAGTTTCTTTTAAGTCTAATTTCAATTATGTTATATCTAATTTAACTTGTTTAAAGTCTAAAAACAAGTTGTATTAGACTTAACATGAATCATGTTAAGTCTAATTTCATATTAAATCCAATTTAATTCATGTTAAATCCAATTTAATTCATGTTAAGTTCAGTTTGATTCATGTTAATTCTAATTTAATTCCTTTTAAGTCTAATTTAAAATATATTATGTCTAATTCAACTTATTTTAAATCTAAAAATAAGTTTAATTAGGCTTAACATGACTCATGTTAAGTCTATTTCAACTTATTTTAAGTCTAATTTCATGTTAAGTCCAATTCGGCTCATGTTAAGTCCAATTCGGTTCATGTTAAATCTAATTTAAATCATGTTCCAATTTGGTTTATGTTATGTCTAATTCGGTTCATGTTAAGTCCAATTTAAATAATGTTAAGTCTAATTTAAATTGTTTTAAGTCTAATTTCATGTTAAGTCCAATTTGATTCATGTTAAGTCTAATTTAATTCCTCTTAAATCTAATTTCAATCATGTTAAATTCATTTTAAGTCTAATTTAAATTATGTTAAGTCTAATTCAACTTGTTTTAAGTCTAATTTTATGTTAAGTCCAATTTAATTAGACTTGAAACAAGTTAAATTAGACATAACATGGTTTACTTAGACTTAAAAAGAATTAAATTAGACTTAACATAAATCAAATTAGACTTAACATGAATCAACTTAGACTTAACATGAAATTAGACTTAAAATAAGTTAAAATAGAATTAACATGATTCGTGTTAAGTCTAATTCAACTTATTTTTTAAATTTAAAACAAGTTGAATTAGGTATAACATGATTTAAATTAGACTTAAAAAAGAATAAAATTAGACTTAACATTAACCGAATTGGACTTAATATGAATCAAATTGAGCTTAACATAAAT